AATTTTAATAATTTTTTCATCGACCAATTGCCTGGGTTTAATACATAAGGAGCAAATCGACAATATAATCATGAAATGGAGGCGCGGGCCTGTTCCCTTGCACGTGAACTGAAGCGCATCTCATCATAAATTAACCGAAACTCACAGACACGAGAAACATATCTACAGTATATTGTTGGAGTCACACGTTAGTGTCACGTGTCTGTGATGTGACGGCGTTGGAGTCACACGTTAGTGTCACGTGTCTGTGATGCGACAGCGTTGGAGTCACACGTTAGTGTCACGTGTCTGTGATGCAACGGCGTTGGAGTCACATGTTAGAGTCTCGCGTCTGTGCTGCGACGTACCCCTTCTCACACGTTAAAGTACACGACTGTCGCCTTCGGAAGGTTATCCGTGGCACTATCCTCTCGCCATATACAGGTTGCCTGGAACGTAGCATAACTCAGGCATACGATGTCCGATCTGCCCCAAACTTCACATGTTTGATAAGAGTGCTGTCCTGAACACATGACCATGCTCATATTTGGTTATAGCAATAGCACCACCTGCTGGTAGCAGGAAGTGTGGCAAATACAAATGCTTTGACATAGTCCTCCTTTATTTATTATCATTACATATTGCCCATCATGCTCTGTCTTCCTAAAACCGCCGGGTGGCGGCGGCACGGGTGCGAGGTCCCTTTTTATTGCTGCTTGCAGCTTTAATTTACAAATCTATTCAATGCAGCTCGGTATATGAAACAACTGAGGATATAACGAACAAGGCAGGTGGGACAAATTATGAAGGCAGGTGGGATAAAGGTTTGTCATTTATTGTAAAAATATAGGATATCAATGTAATGATGTAGTTGTTTATAGTTTTAGCTTCATTGCAAGTGTATGACATTTAGTATAGAAATAAACAATAGTAATTAAAGGGTTAGTTCACCCAAAAATGAAAATTAAGTCATTAATTACTCACCCCCATGCTGTTCCAACCCCGTAAGACCTTCGTTCATCTTCGGAACACAAATAAAGATATTTTTGATTGAATCTGAGGGCTGGATCACTCTTCCATAGACAGCCTGAGGGACTGCCTCTTGACGGCCCAGAAAGTCATTAAAAGAAAAGGTTTAAATATTCCATGTGCCTACAGTGGCTCAACTATAACTTTATCAAGCGACGAGACTACTTTTTGTGCGAAAAAAACCCGTAAATAACGACTTTATTCGACTTTCCATTACTTCCTTATGGGCGCATGCGCGAGAACTGAGACGAGACCGTTCTTCTTCGACTACTTTTTGTTACCGGCTGCTCACCGCTTAGGAGTTTTACCGCCCCCTACCGTATAAGATGACGTACTGATATAGCCGGAGGTGCAAAACGTTCTGTTTACAAGCAGTACGTCATCTTATACGGTAGGGGGCGGTAAAACTCCTAAGCGGTGAGCAGCCGTTCCGAAGATGAACGAAGGTACGGGGTTGGTACAGCATGGGGGTGAGTAATTAATGACTTAATTTTCATTTTTGGGTGAACTAACCCTTTAAATGCTTTTCCTAAAAATGAGAAAGAAAACAGGGTTTTAAAACAGTTTGAAATACAAATAAAGTCAGCATGTGAGGCTAAATAGACGTGCTTCCATTTCAGTTTCAACAAATCCCTTCGATTGGGATGTTGTCTTGTGTTCTGGGCAGCAACACTGTAAAACTGAATATGCTTTATCCAATCAATAAAATTGTGGCAACAGATTAAAAGCAATATTATTTATTAAATTGAACAAATTAGAATTGAGTAATAGTTCATCAAATTAACATTCTAATTAATTCTAATTTGTACAATTTAATTAATAATATTGCTTGTAATATGTTGCCACAATTTTATTGATTAGATAAAGCATATTATTTTTTTCAGTGAAGGGCAGTAACTGTAACATTGGGCATATTTTGTAGTATTAAACACATTTACCAACTTCATCAGACCCTGAAAATTCTTAACAAAGAACACAAAGAATGGCCTTCTCAGCTGCCATAGCTGCAACTCTTGCCTCATCAGAAGAGTGTGTTAACAAAACGTGCAGATTTTTGTCTGGGCTGAACGCAGCCCAGGACTTGTCTTGTCTTGTCTAGCCCTCCCATCTTGTTATCTTTGTCTTGGCCAGGTCGCAGGTGTAAACGAGAACTTGTTCTCAACTGATTTTACCTGGTTAAACAAAGGTTAAATAAAATAAATAAATAAATCTGATTATTGTTTATGTAAGACTGGAAAACTGGAACTGGTTGATGTAATCAGTGACCAGTGTCTTCTGAAGACAAGAGGACCTTACTTGAACAACACACACACACACACACACACACACACACTCTTGCAGAGGAAGCTCACACAAGAATATGTGTTTTTAATGTGAATTTGATAATCTTTAAGGACTGTTTAGAATCATTTCAAAAGTCTCAGGGTGACTGGTAATAATGTCTCATTTCCAAAGAAGTAAAAGAAAAGGTAATAAGGTTTTTAAGAATATAGAAATATCTTGCACACAAAAGGGTGTGTCTTTGAGTTAATCACCTTCTACCTTTTGTCTGAATGCAAACTCTCCTTCCCCCAGTAAGCATGGTGGGGGGGATTCAGTTCATTGTAGTTTGGTGATTAGATCAAGTAAATTTGGTGATTAGAGGTAAGGTTTGGCTCTATTTAAGGAAAATGCAAGAGTTCAGGGCTGCTATTCTGTATCAGATCAGCCCATGATCCTGTGTCTTCGAGACTCAGCTCATGTAGTTAATAAGTTCCTTTGTCCTAAAACAATTGAAGGTTTGCTCTGATTATCTTGTGGAACTGTAATAATACATTTACCTGACATAATAAATTGTTATAATTGACTATTCTAACAGACTTTGACTTTATTTTCATTGGGGTTAAAAGGAATAGTCGAACATTAACGTATTACTGTAAATGATGCACAGATATCATTGATAAAACTTTTCATTTTATGGAGTCAGATGAAACGAGTTAATACATAAGATTAAATGTGTTGCATTTAACTAAAAATCACTTTGCTATGGAAAAGACGGAACACGCATGAAACCTTCACCACGAATCGAACCCCGCCATTTGGATCGATTTCGTGGCCCTTTTTTACATTTAATTTGTCCCACCTGCCTTGTTTGTTACTCTCCTTTGCTTGTTCCCTAGTCTCCGTGTGTTTGTAGTCCTGTGCTGGTTTGCTATTATGTTTCCTTGTGTTTCCTGCTAGACCTGATTTTCTGTTTAGCTGCTTTGTTTTCATTTGTACCTGGATTTATTTTCTATCTTTATTACCCCTATGTTCTTCTTCGTAAATGGGTTACACTTAGCTTCCACACGGTCAAAAAAGACAGAAGCCTTAAAATTATTATTATTTATAATTTTTAAAGATTTGTATGATACTTTGCATTAATTATCTATTTTTCTGAGCTATTATTTTCCATTAGAATTATTATTTTTTTATTATTATAAATGAGAGAGAGACAAAAAAAAGTTTGAGAGAAAAAGTGATAGCACACTGATAGCAAAAAAGCATTTCATGACTGGAAAAAAATATTTGAGAGAAAAAGTATTCATACCAATAGCAAAAAATAACCCTAAACTAATCCTAACGTCACAAAACACCGTTCCTTCACCTCTGCCTGCCCTTCCTCAGCGTTGCGTTTGGATATGTACTGTACGTGAATGTTTCCTCAGCACAGAAGAATGCATATGGAAAATATGACTGTAACATCCAGGATCATTGATAAATAAAGCTTATGCAATAAATGCAATTTTGAAGCATGGGGTGTAACGGTACACAAAAATCACGGTTCGGTACGTACCTCGGTTTTAAAGTCACGGTTCGGTACGTTTTCGATACAGCAAAAAGAAAGAAATGCCAGAGAAATTTCCTATTTGTTTAAAGAAAAAATATTTTTAAATAAGTGTGAGTTTTCCTAGATCTTGAAACTTTCAGGTTTATAAATGGGGGTCATCTTTGAAGGATGAACAAATAATGTTTTGGTCATCACATTAAAAATAACATTTAAATATATATTTATTTATATAGGGCAGGCCTAATATTTGAATTTAAGTGCTGGAAAAAGATGTGTGAAGTACTTGAAAGCATTTCACCATTCCAGCCAAACTGGTTCCAGTTAGTGTTACTATATTAAATCCATGGTGAATGTTGCTGGTCTGTGGACGAAAGTATTACTAGTTCATTCACGGCACAATGTTTCTCCTGGTTTCCATGACAGCGCTGTTTGGTCTAATAGAGCTCTACGGTTAATAACGGAGAAATGTGAATGCATCTCACTAGATCTCGCAGCGATGTTATTACCTCAGTGGCGAATTCAAATGTTTTCTTTACCGGATCTCTTAGCGCGGTGTAGTAACAGCGTTGCTTGATCGAGATCGGCTCGCGCTGCACAGATGTTGCTGGTCCGAACTGATAAACGATCCGTGAAGCACATAACGAGGAGCGCAGTTTCGTTCTGCTTTCATTACGCTTGCCGTTTGATGTTGCGCAACGTTGTGTTGGCCGCGTCAGCACGAATTTTGCCGGCAGGAAAAATGGTCCAAGCAATCGTTCGGTTTGTATGCGTACCGAACCGGAAGCCTTGAACCGAAACGGTTCAATACGAATACATGTACCGTTACACCCCTATTGCATTATCATGTTTACTGTTATTACCTGACATTTATCAAAGTTGCTTATATGAAAGGATTCAGACCTAAAATGATGGCATATATTTAGTTTATAATTTTATATTATTTGATTTTTTTTTATTATTGTTATTTAATAGTTTGGCATTTTGGGGGTTAAAGATCAAAACATAAAATATTATGTATTATTTAAATGTACTAAAAATGAGCAGGTCATTGACCCAACAATAGTATGTAATGTAACAACATGCTCTAAACATGAACCAGCACCATGTATGCGCACATATTTAATCATGTCTTCTTTAAATGAAATATATTTCTCTCCTCATTGAGTAATGTCTTTTTTCACAGGTTCATTTACATAAGCACCAACCAGAACAGGTGAGTTTAGTACAGACATATCCACTACAAAAACAGGTGTTTTACTGTTGATTTATATGCTTATATATAAATTATATTGCTTTACTGTTTTCAGTTGCAAACAACATATGATAGAAAAAGTCCTCAGAAAGTAAGTAATGATGTAATGCATACATATACATCTGATCTCTCTCGTCAACACACACACACACAAAACAAATAAACACACGCGCACTTTGTACTTACTGCATGTATATTCTTATGTACACCAATTCGCACACCATGATCATTTAAATTAGAATTAGACTGATTCTGTTATTGTCAGGTCAGAAGAGAAGCTTGAGAACTTGGGATTGCGCTCATCTCCGGGGTCTGTAAAACATTATTTATGCTCTGATTATACTTAGTATCTTTTTTTTTTTTTTTTTTTTTTTTGGAGTTTCTTTTTTCTTAGCGAATTTGATCCGTAGTTACTGACTACTGCTCAGTTCAGAAACATTCTTGGTTCATGGCTATTTTAATGGTTCAGATGACTAGATGAGATGTCATTTGTCTTACAGATTTCTGTACAACCAACCCAGCGCCTTGGTAGGGTGAGTATTATATTTTTAGTAATAACTTGTTTTGGTCTATTTCCACCAATGAATGGAATGATTACAGTGCTGTATATGTTTTGTGTTTTTAATGCAGTCGGAAAGATGTTGTCTCTATGACACCATGGTTATCCCCAATCATTTGGGAAGGAACCTTTGACCCAACACTGATTGATTCTATCTACAAACAACATAATCTCACCATAGCGACCACTGTTTTCGCTTTGGGAAAGTGAGCTCCTCAATGTTTCAATATTTCTACTTCCTATTCCCTCCTCTGTATTTCTCTCTTTGTTTTTGAAAATAGAAATGAGTAAAGAATAAAGTGATAAGCTAACCATGATATATCTCGATGTGCCCGTTTGTTAGATACACACGTTTCCTCAAAGATTTTCTGGAGTCGGCGGAGGAGCATTACTTTGTTGGATTTCGAGTGCATTACTACTTGTTTACGGATCAACCAGAAGCAGTTCCTGAAGTAAAGATGGGTGAAAATCATAATTTGACAGTTCGGAGGGTTCCGAGTTTGGACCGATGGCAGGACATAAGTATGGGCAGGATGGAAATACTAGAAAAACTAATAAAGAACGAACTGGCCAATGAAGCTGACTATATTTTCTGCCTGGACGTGGATACAAAGTTCTATGGCCGCTGGGGGGCGGAGTCTTTGGGTCGTCTGGTCGGTGTGATACATCCTTGGTTCTTTGATTATCCGAGAGATCAGTTCACATATGAGCGTAGACCAGAGTCTCAGGCATTCATTCCAGCTGGGGAAGGTGATTATTATTACACTGCTGCTGCATTTGGTGGCTTATTGGATGATGTACATAATCTCACCAAAACCTGCTGGGAACAGCTGAAAATTGATGCTGCGAACTCCATCGAGGCGATATGGCACGAGGAGTCTCACTTGAACAAGTATTTTCTTTATAACAAACCCAGTAAACTTCTCTCTCCTGAATATCTGTGGCGGGACATCAATATTGGTGCGGACCAAGTGAAAATAATTCGCTTTTCTCATGTAGCTAAAAACAACGCAGAAGTTCGCCCAAACGTGTAGCAGCTGTTGCCAGCATTCGGCTGACCTGTTGTGTTCTCAAAGGCCTATTGAAAGACATTAAGAATCGCAAGTCATGCCACAAGTAATAATGACATGAGGGAAGTTGATATCTGCCACCAATATCACAGACATGAGAATAATATTTGTATGTGGCACCAGGAACAAAATCTGCCAAAATCTTTTTGAATTAATATAAACTTATCTTTACTACTGAACTCTTCAGTTTATTGTGTGATCAAAAATAAATAAAATAAAAATCGAACCTCTTTTTATGCAAGCATTTGAGGATTTGAGGTTTAGCTACAGAAAACTGATGTACAACTATTGAACTAATGTCTGCAAATGTACAAAGTCTATGCAAATGTACAAAAATATATGCATTCTATATGCGTTTTGTTTATGAATACTGACTTTAATAATGGATCACATCCATTTTTTTTACAGTGTTGTTTGTTTGTTTGTTTTTTTAAAGAAAAGCACATGTTTGCACATGTTTTATCAGCCTTGGTAATCAGGCAAATTAAAAAAATAATAATAATAATAATATATGGGATAATAAATAATATGAGCATTGATTGTTTGTTCTATTGATGGCCTCTTAAAAAAAGAAAATACCTATACTATTCTGACCAATTGCGTAGCTTGAGCAAAGGCTTAAAAGAAAGCGTAGAATTTGAAAAATGAACTCCGGAAAGCAGTCTTCATAACTTTAGTTACTTTACTGGTGATTGTTCTTCTCAATATTTTGTTGTTGTTGTAAAACTACAAACAAGAGGAGAAAATATCTATGAATATTCACAAATCAAAATTAACATTACCGTATGATTTTGTACATTACAGGTCATGTTAACCAAAAGATTTCCATCACTGACTGAATTTTTTTAACAGTGACAGAAAAATCTGAAAGCCGTCGCCTTTTGACAGATTACGCTGTGGGTGATGTAGCCTATTGTAATTTTTAACTGTAACTCTCAACCATTCTAAACCACTGAAACCATAGTTATGGATGTCATATTGCATTTCTGTTAATAGACCCCTTTTCAGTTGGTAAACATGGTGATGTTTTTTTGTGGGCGGAGCTTAGGTGGAGGCAGAAAGATCCCTCTGGCCGCTTCACTAACGCTAGTTAGCAAGTATTGTTAACTTGTTTTTTAACTATGACTGGAGAAAATCCGATTTTATCTTAATGTGTAAGGTCACTCTGTGTCCAGGACCGCGATTGTTATTTCCAAAAGTTATTTACAGAACCAGATTGGCCGACCCGTAGCTGCCTATACACTCACTCAATGCATGGACGATCTGACAGGATTAACGTTACGTTACCTCGGTTGAGTGGCCTGACTTGTACATCTACCTTACAAAGAAACCGATCATAAAGAGAAACTGAGGGCATATAAATATTTAGATGCCTATAACTATGTTCTGATACAAGACTTGTGTTGTGTGTACGATCTGCAGTTCTGCCGAGCCAGCGCCGAGACGACGACAATGTAAAGAGTGACATTACAGTGCGATTTTAATGATGTGAATATTTTCTAGAAATAAAAATTCCAGATACAGCATATTCATTTTTCATCAATTCTTGCACCAAACAACACAACAAGATGACATTTAATAATAGTAACAATAATTTAAGCTCCTTATTTTGTAGCCGAATCTGTGCTGGTTGCATTGGCCGCCTCCAGTTTTCACTTTGTTTTGCCTCCAGCTAGCGCCGTGACGTGACGTCGGCGCAAAAGGAGTCTATAGATACTCCACATTTTTACACATTGCACCTTTAAGTTACCTCAGAGATCACCCGCAAACCGGATATGCTTATAGGCTACCCATTTTCTGGTTCGAATGCTGGGTGCTTGGCATAACCCCTACTGCGTGCGACTGCAGAATCCGACCCTTTTTGCGAGAGTTTTTTGACCTACATCAGCTTGCCAGGCAATCGGACCACTCTCGGACACATTTCATAGCGGCATGCATCTCACACTGATCACCGGTGATCGGTTCTACGCAGATTTTGCTCATCTCAAACATGATCTCAAACAAGCCTAATACCTTCAGGTCAGAGATTTTCAGATGCCAATATGACAAAAAAGAAAAAAGGGGAATGGGGGGAAAGCCGATAGGCTTGTTCGACTTCATGCAGCTCTGCGCAGGCCGATCGGTGGCTGACTTGAAGCAGTGCATGTCGGTTAGAAATTTTGTCCGACTTGATGCTGACTGTGACGTATGCTATCAAAGTACCGCGATTCAAGAGTAGCTGGAGGACTCGCAGCTTCTCAAGAGCGGATCAGAGCACAAGCTCTGATGACGGACACAGCTGTTCAACGATTCGCCAGATTTACCGCATGACAATGATCTGGTTCTCTTTTAAAATAGGCTTGTTTGAGATGAGCAAAATCTGCGCAGAACCTATCACCGGTGATCAGTGCGAGATGCATGCCGGTTAGAAATGTGTCCGAGTGCGGTCTTCCTTGCTCTGATGTCATGCCGACGTAGGCCTATGTCAAAAAAAATCTCGCGAGCACCTGTCGGATTCTGCAGCCGCGTGCAGTTGCTCTCCACCAACTGCGCTGATCAAAAACACGATGGGAAACGACTTGGTGACGACACAGCTTAATGCTCATTGGTTTAAACAGCCGTGATGTTCTCTTTAAAAATGTTTGATTTTAAAACTGATATCATGTTTTAGGTTTTAAATGCTAAAATGGCTTGCCATAGTACATGGGTGAATAAACTCTCTGACAGTGCCATATGGGTTATTATGTGATGTCATTTTTTATTAAAACAATATATAAAAACACGTCTGTATTAAAGTAAAAAATATTGATAAACACATATTTGGAATTTAATTAAATAACAAGTACTTTGGGTGTCTTGTTCATTATTTTTTTTTAAAAAAGCAACAGAACTTAAATGACATCCAGTTTATAATCAACACGTGCACGAGCGTGAATCCCGCGATATCAGACTTTGATCTCTCAGGTGTCTGATCTACATTTCAGGCGAGGCAAGGCGCGTCTCAAACAAGCCTAATGGAGTGGAGTCAACGTTTTTTAATCAGTTTTATTTGGATAAACATGACACAATACAACATCACAACAACATGAAAAGACTGTTAGCCAATTCTCACGCTCTCACGCCACACTCCTCATTTCTCATGCTGAAGTGTCAAGCCTGAAAGAGTTTATCTACAGGTCTATCTGTTGAGGCACCCGCGATCGCCTAGTTTCACCGCATTTTACTAGATAAATATCCTGTAATCTTATCTAGAGCGAGAGTGCATGCGAGACAGGTGTTGAGCTCCGCGCACGATGACAGAAAGAGGTAAGTGAGAGACAACTCTATGTCATTTAACATGTTCCCGGTCCCACAAAATACGTCATCATCTTGTCAGAGTGAAAAATTGGTTCAGGTACTAGAAAGTTGCTTGCTGGTGGCTAGAAACGCGAACATATTATTGAGATGTCGTCTAAGTTCATCAGTTGAATTGTCGAGAAACTAGGCTACATCTCAGCCCAGCCCAGCCCTTCGAAGGTAAGCTATATATGAATGTGTGAAGTTATTTTTAACGATGTGCTGTGATTGTTTTGAAATGAAAGGACGTCTAGTTGTAGCAAGTTAGATCTTGGTCGCAAAATCGTTGCTTAACGCAGTGGCTATACAGTCAACTTTATAATTACCTCTTAGCGTCGCGAAATTCACATGCCGATCAAAACATTGATTCAATTATATAATGTTACAGATAACGAGCAAAGACTGGGTTTCCAGGTCCCCAAAAGATCCAGCACAAAATCGACTGCAAACGCGCTTAGGGATTAAAAATAGAAACCTCAAATTAAAACTTCAAAAATAAGAAACCTCAAAAATAATTTGTTAATATCAGGATTTATCATTTTTAGCAACAATGATCCTATCCCATCTTGTCGTGGTCATCATCCTCAGCACTAGTTTTCTCAATATTATTCTCAAACTGAACAGCCTTTATCTCTCACTAGGGAGCGCGGGGCTAGTTGTAACACGCTTGTTTTAAATACTTACACACACATGCTGGCATGAGGAAACTTGGTGTAAACACTATGGAGAAATAAATGCGCAAAAATTCAGAAATATTTGTAAGATATTACTGAACAGCATAGCAAAATAACATTACTTAAGTTAATTTTTCATCTCTATTTTTTTTTGTTTATTTAAAATTAGACAAATCTGATATCATTTTAATCTCCAATATGTTGTTTAACAGTTGATAGTTATTTAATGCTTTGCAAACTAGCAGAAGACACTAGCAGGGTTTAAACCCCAGTTGTGCAGTTGGGGCATGTTGTAACACTGTGTTACAATGTGACCGTGCCCCTATTAGAAATATGCTATTATATTCAATACTTTTATGAAGTCTATTGAGAAAACATGTAAATAAAGAAGACTGAGAATCAATGTTCAGAAATTATTAATAATTATTTTGTTTTGAACAATGCTGTATATCTTTGTTTTGGTGTATTTATCATCAAACTCAAAAATTATGTTTATTTTTAATTATTAAAAAATGCCATTATTGTATATGAAAAAGTTAATTATTGTATTTTAATAAGAAAATATTTTGGTGTGAATTGTGTATGTTTTTGATTAGATTGCATTTTAAGCTGTCATATTGTGTTACAATGTGCCCCTCACATGTTACAATGTACCCCACCTATGGGGCATGTTCACATTCTTTCAGGGTAAATGAAGAAAAAAGTATACACTGTATTAAAAAAAAAAAACCAAATTGTACTAGACATGTGGGAAATTAATGTGGGGAAAAAAATTACACTCTAAACCCTAAGTAGTAGATTTACACAAACTGAGAGAGTCAAAAAGTGTTAGTTTGTGCCCCGCATTATAATCTACTTTAGCCTAGGCCTACTCGTATTCTGCCATTGACTGAATTAAATGGGAGGAACTAGACCTCCACCTCGCTGGATCTAATGGGCTGGGCTTGAAGGGCTATCAAGCCTGTTAATGTTAGTGTGAGCAGAGAATGTCTAATTGAAGAGAATTGACACTGGCTGGTTACTTCCGGGTTCTGGACAGGCTGCAGTAACGCGTCTCGGTCCATGTGGGGGCGCTCGCGGTCGAGTGCAGAATGAATGGGAGTCAATGGGGTTTCACCCCCAGAAATCTACTTTTCTCAGGATGTAATTTTTTGTCAAGTAATTTGAAAGTTGCATTCAAAAGGGAGGGCTAAGATAATACACTCAGCTGAAAATTACATTTTTAAGTTCACTTATCTGTTCTAAAAATCCGTTCAAAAATGTGATGACATCACACAATAGCAGAATGCTAGCGTGTTCTGGCCAACAACAGCCTAAGAAATCAAAAGGACATAAGTACTCGTTCATTCGACTTTTGGCCTATAATCTATATTGAACTTGCGAAATCAACAATAAAATCTATTTTTGTTTAACGACAAGCAGGTGAAAGAGACACATTTAGCCGTTTAGCCCCATAGACTCCCATTCATTCTGCACTCGCCCGCGATCATCTCCAGTGGAATTCTAATGGAACTGCAACCAAGGTGATGGACAATGGGGCTAATAGGAAGTGCCACGGCTCTCCGTTAGACGGGCTCTGTTGTGAGCTCAAATGTAATGGACGGAAATGTTTGCTTTGATGGGCAAGATGTTTGCATAGATAATATTGCCTTATTTTTTTCTAATATTTGGCCTGATTATGACTGATTATTTTCAACATGGTCAGTATCGTTTCTGTGACAAACGGCATTATGTAAACGCTTAATAAAAATATTGCTCACACTATACAGGTCCTTCTCAAAAAATTAGCATATTTTGATAGTTCATTATTTTCCATAATGTAATGATAAAAAATTAAACTTTCATATATTTTAGATTCATTGCATACAACTGAAATATTTTAGGTCTTTTATTGTTTTAATAGTGATGATTTTGGCATACAGCTCATGAAAACCCAAAATTCCTATCTCAAAAAAGTAGCATATCATGAAGAGGTTCTCTAAACGAGCTATTAACCTAATCATCTGAATCAACTAATTAACTCTAAACACCTGCAAAAGATTCCTGAGGCTTTTAAAAACTGATGGTTCTTCTCACAGATATCCATGCCCATTTAAGTTGCACTTTTAAAAAAGATTGTGAACTTGAGCTGAAAGAGGGGGGTTTCATGACCCTTTAAAGAAAACTTACAAGTACTAACTAGTATTTTTTGAGAGGATACTTCAAAGTGTCCTTTCGTAAACTAAGTATTTTAAACCATCAGTAGGCTACATCTATAAGTTCACTTATAGTATAGTTGCAGTACAAAAGGAAAACTTGTTGTAAACTAGTTGTGTACTCAAAGTTGATTACTTTTACACTTTTGATTACTTTTATACTTTTACACAATATACTTTTATATGCTAAAAACGGGCCAATTTAGTCCCAAGTTGCATTGAAACAGTACACAGAACCAGTTTATAAACTTTTGCGATAGGTGCCTACTTTTTTACAGTTTACGGTTTTATTTCAACACTTACTCTATACTGCATAAATATAATAACCTTTATTTTCTATAGTGCCTTTAAATGTACATCTCAAAGTGCTGTACAAAAACAATTAAAATAGCAAATATACAACACACAGAGATACATACACAGTAAAAATAAACATAAAAGACAATAAATCAAATAAAAGCTAACCAAAAAAAAAAGAGAAGAGTTTTAAGCTAAGGTTTAAAATACCAAAAGATTTGGCTTGCCTGATCACAATAAGTAGAGAATTTAATGAAGAAACATCCCCATCTCCTGTCTATTAATCTCAAACGAGTTGAGGGAACAGTTAAAAGACCAGTTTCCGAAGAATGAAGATCACGTTTTTGATTATATGGAGTGAAGGATGTGGAACAGTCATTGGCTGTTGAATTATGTCTGTTTTTAAGTACTTATAACAGCTTTGTTTGTTAAGGTCCGCCCTAGCCAGGCTTTTGTTTGACATTCAAATCTCTGTCAACAAACTCTTCTTGTCGGATGTTCACTCTCATTTTTACAGTTCAATCCATCAAGTGAATACAGACACCAGACCCAGCTGCATGATACCCCAATAATGCGACGTCAGAGTGTTCATTTCTTCCTTTTTGGCATGTTTGTTGGCTTATCGCTGAGTGGGTATGTAAAATCTTTTTGAATCTATTTACAAAGTGTAATTTTTTTATACTTTGTAGTGAAATTAGTGACTAACACAAATTGACACATTTAGAAATAAGACTTAAAGTATTTTGTACCTTTTTTGTTTTTAACTGCATTTACACACTTTATTTGCTGTAACTAAACGTACAGCATAATACACATAATAATGCACCCGCACCACTACTAAACCTACCCTAAACCTACCCATGGCCATGTGCATCATATGCACTTAAAAACTCAACAAGTGTGACCATGTTGGCTTGATAGTTGTTATTTGATCACTTGGGTTTTCTATAAACTGGTTTAAGCTCAGATCTCCCTAAACAAACTCACAAAACCAGTAATTCATTACTGAATGCGGAAGTGTTATTCTCAAAGGTAGAAGTAATCATACACGCAGCCAGTGAGGTTATCTCCCTTCCCTCATGTTCCAATGAAACTTTAATGCCTATGTGATTGTGTATTTGGGAAACCAAATGATGGAAAAGACATTCATATGTGTGTTTAATGCAAAATTGTGGATGCTCTTAAATTAAATCTTCAAATAAAACAAATATGCTTTAGAAAGCCAGGTATTACAAGCCAAGAGGTTTGTTTTTCTACTACTGTTGACTTTGAGCTAGTGGGTAATTGTCCATGCCAACTGTCATGCATGTACTGTACGTATGCATGTATGTAGCCAATAAATAATTTCGTCTGAAATATGTGCAATTTTATGTAGAGTAGACTGATGTATAAATGGACTCTAAAGTGTACAATATTCATGGAATGTGCCAAAAATGTTAAAGATTTTAAAGGCTCAAGTTGTGTGTCATATTATATTGTTGAACACAAAATCTAAAGACAACACCACAATGGAATGGAAGTCCTTTTTAAAAGAGCCTGTCCTGTTTGATTAGTCATAATTTGCTACTTTTATTTCTCTGCAAGTATTTTATTTATATAGATTTCCTTCTTTCCCAATTTAAGATGAATTAGGAGCTGTGCATATAAGGCTAATATCTAGTTTGAGCCCCTGTGGTTGACAAACATTTTTGAAGGTTCAGCACCTACCTCCAAATACCATTCACAAGGAAAATTCTTAACCTAAAAACTTCTACTAAAAAGATTGTGAGGGTGTCTACACACATTTCTGAAAGATCTTTGCTTATGTGTATGTCTTCTCTCACAGGCTCATTTTATTGAGTTACACCAGTTGGTTTAGGTAAGTAGCCTTCTGTATATACGTCATGTTTTCAGTCTGAATAAAACAATAATTCGTTTGATTAAATTGTCACATGTAACAGCTTTAGTTCGTACCAGTCCAATTGTGTAAGTCAGACAAACAGAAAACACAATTGTAGCTCGTTTTCGTTGTACGTGTGCCGCAAAATCTTGTTTCATAATTACCATGCCACGTATAAGACTACACAAAACCCTGCCGCTGTTGTTCGATTATGTGTTGTGATAAGGTATTTTGTGTTATACAGTCTATTTCTGTATAATTGTGTTTTGGTTTGCAGAAATCAACAAATGGATGAATTAGGGTAAGTACCCAATGCATGTGCTCACACTCTAAAAACGGCAGGGTTAAAAAATAACCCAACGTTAACCACATCGCTGGGTCACTATTGGATAGAACATGTGCTGGGTTGGTTTGACCCAAGTGCTGGGTTTTACCATTTAACCCATATTCATGGGTCATTTGGTTGACCCAACCAGTGGGTGAAAAGAACCCTCTTGTTGTGTTAAATCTTACTCATGTGCTGGGTTATTTCCTGTTTCATTGCCTTATTAAAATTAGTAACAAATATTTGTTATTACGAATGTAAAATAATTATTGTCTCTGTAATACAATAAACCAGAGAGGCCACTGTATATGTGATTTCAATTATTTATTTTTTTACATTTTTAATACACTTCTTAAATTTTTTTTGTATACAACTATTACAAATATACAATGTATACTCATTCTAAGGTAAAAATACATTAACATTGCATTAAGTAAGGTCTTTATGCACCACTGAAAACTGGTTTTCTGTTTACAGATCCTCCTAAATATTACACAATGCACCTTTAAAAGTCATTAAGCAACTCATTTGAACTCTTGTACGATTATGATTTCATTTATTAAGATGTGTTGATTTATTAAGTTATATACTTTATTAGTATGATTTATATACTGTGTTTGTCAAGTAAAACAGTTTCTGATCTGGCCAATAATGACCAAGCACATGAAGCAAATTAGGCTATATGCGATTAAATAAGTTAACAAATAAACCACATCTAATAGATAAACTATAAAGCTGGCCGAAAGAGCAATACTGACAACAAAACTAGGTGTAATTGCCAAATAAGTTCATTGCCATTAATATGCAATGTTTTAGAAAAGTAAATTGGTAGAATATCCAGTGTAATGAAAACAGTAGGTCAACATAACTACGATGTGTTCTTTAATTCCCGGTCTTATTCTGCCCTCTAGTTATACAAATTGCTGCGCATTCGTTGAATTCTGAATTTTGCACATGCATTTGAAAGCAATTTGTTTGTGGATAGCCGCAACATTTATCAAGTTCAACTGTTCAAGGATAATTGTGCGTGCATTTCGTAATCAATGGGCTATATGCACGCATAAGTTCCGCATTTGACGTAAGGATGCTCGTCCATTTCCGGTTGTGTAGATTAAAGCGGAGGAAAACCGGAGAAAACGGGATTATGGCAGAGTCTTCAATATTTACTGTCCTCCCGTCTTTGAAACGAAACGTACATACGTTTAGATGTAATTTTATATATAGTTATGTTTATTTAATATAATTTTAAAAAGAAGCATAAACACAACGAGGGGTGTCTGTTTTATCTGTTTTTGTGACTAACGTTTCATTAGTATAACCATGGAGTATAAAATTCAATATAAATTCTCGGTATTGCATTGGACTCTATGATCGGCGGAAGTTATCGAGCATCCTTAATCCTTCACCGGAAATAACGCCGTGCATAGAGCCCATATGACAGCCTACTAAAATCAAAGTATAGCCTACTACAAAAAATCAGAGGTGGTAAAAGTACTTAAATTACTCAAGTGATGTTTGAATGGAGGACTTTCTATTTTTACTGGAGTAAAAGTACAAAAGTGTCCGATTTAAAACGTACTTATGTATAGACAGTAAAAAGTAAATATTCAAATTAACTGTAAATATTGGGGTGGTGATGGCGCATTGGATAAGATAAGGTCCACTGTGAGACACCAATGTTTCCCTGAGCAAGACACTTAACCCCTAGTTGCTCCAGAGGCGTGCGACCTCTGACATACATTGCAGTTGTAAGTCACTTTGGATAAAAGCGTCAGCTAAATGAATAAATGTAAATGTATATTAATAATTAAGCAGATCAATTGTTTTGGGAGTGATGTCCAATATTTTATTTGAACAAATGATAACATTAGATACTGCAATTAAGAATTTGTTAGCTAGCTGTTTACAAGGCACGTTTCAATATGAAATCAGTTGGCTAACATTAAACCGACACTAAAGAACTTTTCCTCTGCGGTCCCCCTACAGGTTGGAAGCGGCATAGTCCGTTAGCGCTGTCGCAAATAATTTAGCCTGCAGCATACTGTCACCTGTTTCTGCGGTCAATCTGTGCGTATGGTGGCAAAGAGCTTGCGCGTTCTTTTTTTTTCTTTTTTTTTCAAAAGAAAAAGTTTTTCGTTGGTTTGGAAAGCCAGTGTAATAAATATTTGAAGCGGGCATTGGGAAATGTATCAGAGTAAAAATAAACTTTGTCTTTAAAATTGTAGTGGAGTAAAAGTGAAAGTAGATGCAGATAAAACATATTCAAGTAAAGTACATATCCCTGAAAAAAAACTACTTAAGTAAAATAACAAAGTATTTTTACTTCATTACTTACCACTACTGCAAAAAATCAGATAAGTCCAGAATATGAACGCAAAGAAACTCTGTTTTACTTGACTTGGCTTGCACTGCCTTTAGCCTACCACTACTGTCTGCAAAGGATTATTATTAATAATATTCTTAATTTAACTGTAATTGTTGCACTGCATTCGTTGAACTCTGAATTTTGCACACATAATTGAAAGCAATTTGTTTGTGGATAGTAGCCTAAAACATATCTGCAATATTTATCAAGCTCACGGATAATTGCGTGTGCATTTCTTAATCAATATGATTCTAAACTCATAATAAAGTATACTACAAAAAAGACCAGAATATGAACGCAAAGTGTTTCATTTGACGTTAAGTATTTTCCTCCCATAGAAACTCATTATAAGAACGCTAAATGTAGATTAATGCACATGTGCCCCTTATGTCGAAATAAAAAGGCTATTTGTGTCGAAATAACTACTTATTTTGTCGAAATAACGAGATACGATTTTGAAATAACCAGATTTTACGTCAAAATAACGAGATAAGTTATCTTTGTTTTTTTTCTCACCTTGCGGTTCAGGGCTTCCTTATACAATATAACTGAAATGCAAGTTAAACTTTTTTATGTGGAGCTATATATATTTTTATTGTAAACATTACCAAATATGGCCAAATGTGAAAAACAAACAAAATGTCTATTTACACATCTAAATAGACATTTAACCAGTCTAAAATAGTCTGAATATAAACACTTCTTATAGGTGTACCAAAAGTGGTTCAGGATAAGACAAAAACATGATTTGGAAAATGGATTCATAATGTTGCTCATTATAAACATTTTGAAAATGTCTGCAAAACAAAATTAATTTTTTTTTTTTTAAATAAACAGAGATTGCAGCTTTAAATATTCTAAACCTAAATTTCTTTAATAGTTATCAAGGATATAAAACAGTGCAAACGTCTACCCTTATTGAAGTAGAAACACTAAAGTAAAACTTAGGTTGCATGTCAAGGGCCTCTGTGCCTCTCTGGTGGGTCTGAAGACTTTCCTCTTCTCCTGTAGATGGATGGGGGAAGCAGAGTTAGCAGGACCTTCAAAGCTGTCTCCCCTTTAGCAGCTAAACAATATGAACATAATACATAAAGTTGCATTAACATTGAAATAGTATGCTGTATATAACAATTCATATTTCTAAAGTAGCATTTCTGACTTTTCTGCCCTGGTGTTTAAAATGGCGCTGTTGTGAATATAGCAAAAAAGATTATTTCGCTTCAAACATTGAGCACACTTGGTCCATGACCACCGTTTTACAAAAACGATCCTGGTTCTGACATTACAGAAGAAACGCGCAGACTGTGCTGGAACTTACCCCCGTCGCTTCTTCTGTTGAGAATTTCTTAAAGAGTAACTAAACACTTAACCAACTTTTTTTAGTTAATGATCTGTAAGAATGGATCTTTATTAATACCAGTCATTGACTCTTTTGGCATTTGTTTATAAAGTGTTCTATTTCTACAATATATGGTGTAAAAACGTCTTAGTGCTGCCCTCTTCAGGTTGAACGGTGGCTACTGCAGTTGAATTTTCCTATTGGATGTTTGCTGTGGTACGTGACACAGCAGTTGTTGGTGACCGGCAAGTTCCATACAAAGAGATGCGTCTCAGGTGCACGACCCCCTCTGCTGGGCTCTGCCCACTTTTCCAGCATTTTTCAAATATTGCCAGTGGGTGGAGTCAGGCTCTGACCAGGGGTTTAGTTACCCTTTAAATTTCTCAGCAGACTTTCCACACACACAACTCCCTAGACTAATTTCCCCGCAGTTTTTACATAGCCTACTGCGCGTGTACGGTTTTATTCAAAACGCTCTCCTCACTTTTAAATACTAAACGTCCACAATCAATAAGATTTACGTGATGAAATTACAATTTAAACTGCATAAAGGCTGCTGACATAGCTGGTTTACATGTGGCATTTTTTTCAAAAAATTTAACTGGCTAGACTTGACAGAATTCACAGTTTATTACCCTATAGCCTGTGTACTTTCAGAATACAAAATGTTGGAAATATTTACTTGTTTAACGTGTAAACATGCTTGGATATAAATGTGTGTGTGTGTGTGTGTGTAATACACAGTGGGACAGACATTGGTTCTTTGACACCATGGTTGGCCCCAGTTGTTTGGGAGGGAACCTTTGACTCCATTATGGTTGACTCTATCTTCAAACAACAAAACATCACAATAGCGACCACTGTCTTCGCTTTGGGAAAGTAATGAAGTTATTTCTCAAACTCTCCAAATAACTCTTTTTCTCTCTGTCTATCATTTATTAATATTCTTGGGTGATGTTTTTAGATTTTAGTATGGAAGTATTTTGGGCCAAATCACACCCCATATTCACATTCTCATGCTGGCTTCCTGTTACAACAACAGGACTAAATTTGTATCACCTTTGTAAAACTCGTTTGAAGTATGATTACATTTACACATAGCCACAAGTAAATGCAGCAACATAGATAACACCATTTGTTCTTCACACAGAGTCAAATCTATGTCTCTGATACTGCATTTTTGTGAGGCAGAATCAGAGAGGTGTAGATTTGAGGTCTCAGATTTTTTTCAGCAGCCATTACTCCAGTCTTCAGCATCACATGGTCTAACAGAAATCATTCTAATATGCTGATTTGGTGCTGAAGAAATATTTCTAAAATTATAAATGCTGAAAAAGCATACACGCATACATTTTTTTTTTTCAACACCTGTTCCTCACTCTTTTTTCAGATACACACGTTTCCTCAAAGATTTTCTGGAGTCGGCGGAGGAGCATTACTTTGTTGGATTTCGAGTGCATTACCACTTGTTTACGGATCAACCGAAAGCAGTTCCTGAAGTAAAGATGGGTGAAAATCATCATTTGACAGTTCGGAGGGTTCCGAGTTTGGACCGATGGCAGGACATAAGTATGGGCAGGATGGAAATACTAGAAAAACTAATAAAGAACGAACTGGCCAATGAAGCTGACTATATTTTCTGCCTGGACGTGGATACAAAGTTCTATGGCCGCTGGGGGGCGGAGTCTTTGGGTCGTCTGGTCGGTGTGATACATCCTTGGTTCTTTGATTATCCGAGAGATCAGTTCACATATGAGCGTAGACCAGAGTCTCAGGCATTCATTCCAGCTGGGGAAGGTGATTATTATTACACTGCTGCTGCATTTGGTGGCTCATTGGATGATGTACATAATCTCACCAAAACCTGCTGGGAACAGCTGAAAATTGATGCTGCGAACTCCATCGAGGCGATATGGCACGAGGAGTCTCACTTGAACAAGTATTTTCTTTATAACAAACCCAGTAAACTTCTCTCTCCTGAATATCTGTGGCGGGACATCAGAATCAGTTCAGGCCAAGTAAAAAATATTCGCTTCTCTCACGTAGCTAAAAACAATGCAGAAGTTCGTCCAAACTTATAGCAATCATGTTTCACAAAAAAAGCATAGTTTCCCTATCCCTTAGGTTGGAGACATAAACCGGTGAAACTGGTTTAACAAAGCATTGTGAACGATTTGTAGATTACAAATCTGAGTGAAAAGCACATTAGGGTTCCACAGGGAAATAAGTTTTGAATTTGACTGAATGTGATGAATACCTTTGTTAAATCCTGATTAAATAATGTGGCATAATATTTTTCAGATGTCTGATCGATAAGTTAATAAAGATGTGTGTAATTTAATGTTCTTGTGAGCTGCGGATTCGTAATGACTAGATAATCATATAAAACATCAGGCTACATTGCAAATCATATTAATAATTTTCCTAGCAAGAAAATATCTTGACATTCTTAAAACACATTGCATTTACCAGAGAAGCAAATGGCATAAAATATTAATTCTTGCTTTTTTGCATTTTATCTTGGTCTATTTGCAGATATTTTTGTCCCCTACTTGTTTTAAACATAAACTTAATTTAAAACATAAACTCTTTGAGGTGGACCCCATAGACCTCCATTATATGACTGACAGACAACGACGGTTTGACCTAAAAATATCAAAATTGAAAATACTGTGGAAACAAAGACACCTACATCTTGGATGTCCTTGAGGTAAGCTAAAACATATCAAAAATGTATTTCAAAGTGAACGATCCCTTTAACGTTGCGTTCAGAACTGAGGTGAAGACGCTGACGGGTGGGGCGTAGAATTTAGTAGGGATGCTATTGGACATGGTGACAATGAAATAGGGGCTTATCAATAATTTCGAGCAATATTGTATCTATCTCCTTATTTAAACAATGCAATTTTAACAAAGTTTAATTTGATTAATAAGCTTGTTGGCTTGCAACTCAGCCTTTCAAAAACAGGCCTTTAATTGGCACAAGGCTGATTTTCCTATTTTCAACTAGGCTATATACCTCATGGCATGCCATACTTTTTTGTATTTACAAATGCAGAGCAAAAGCATGAAAAAGAGCTATTTCCCCAAATCTAGCAGAAGAGGGCGCTGTCGACTGCAGAGTGAATTTATAGGTCAAATTTGTAAATAACATTACATCGTGCTGATTTCCTCCCGACTGCATTTCCACGTCAGAAATATCAGATATATTAGATCTGACCCCGGACCCCAAATCTCTGTCAGAAGAAGATACAAGCCTTTAAAAACCTGAAAGTTTGACTGAGAAAGCTGGGTATAAGAGCAGAATCAGTCGCGACGTGATAATAGTAAAATGAGCAGAGTTTATTTAATCATCTTGTTGCGTATAGCCAGGTTTCAATGCTCAGACTTCGTCTGAATGTCCCATTGCTCATGCGCATTTACTCATGCGTGTTATTAGACCTATAAAACAGCAAAACAATGGAATGTTAGGCTACTGCTTCACTCACAACATCGTCCTGTGAAATGAAGACATTCCCTTATCTCGAACTCATAAAGACAAACATACAATCCTGTAAAGAAGAAAATAAAAAAAACAGATAGGCCTATGGTTGTTCTGACATTTCTAACTGAGTTCCTTTACATCCATTCAAAGAAGAAAAATGATCACACAAAGAAGCCGATTAGAAATGCAACATTCAATTTCACATATGTAATGTTGCTTGCCTATGTTTGTTTGTTTAAGATAAATTATATATGTGATATACTATACAGGTTACACCTGTAACCACCTTGGTGGTCATGTGCTTCAGTGCTTGGTCTTAAATGGGATGAGTTTGAAAATTTGTGTATGCCTGAGGAAGGATTTGAGACAACGTTGCTAATAAAGAATTTTTATTGGTTTTTAAATGGTTTTATTGTTTTATTTTATTGTTTTTTATTGAATTTTTATACAGATCTTTTTGGGTTGTTTTCCTACGCACCTATCACCTATTTTTGTATTGATTTAAACCGCTAATGAAATTTATTGTAGTTTAAATACAGATAAAGCTTTTTTTATTTTTATTTTTATTTTATTTTTTATAGTTGATGTCATAATTTTCCCACTGCCTTTGATATTCCAAACCTGCATGACTTTCTTCAGTGGGTCACAAAAGTTTAAGTTCTGAAGAATGTTCATAATTTTACCAGCACCATGAAAGTGAAAACAATGGCTTTCAAGTTCCAAAAATGACACACAAACACAAAATCATACCATGAATAAGCAAAACAACGTCAATAGAAGCATAAAAAGTAGTCTACTGTATATAAGACATGTACTGTATTTCATGTTTTCTTAAATCAAATGCGTCTTTATATAGAGGACAGATATTTACCTGCCTTTACAATCTAGCTTGACACGTGGTCTCTATTCACTTTCTATGCACAACATTCTCCAATAAATAACTCCTATAGACCATTTCAAAAGATGTAAACAACACTGGTCCAAAAGCACTTCCTGTTTCAGTTTTTTAACACTACATAAAAGCTGGGATAAAATACAACCAACAGAACATATAAAACTGAATCAAAAAGTGTGAAATAAAGAATGTGAAATAAAGAAATTTTACATGAAATAAAGAAATTTTACATGTGAAATAAAGAAAACAGTTACAAACTGAAACAGGAAGTTTTTCTGGACCAGTGGTGTTTACATCTTGCAAAATGGTCTATAACAAGTTATTCAGCCTTCAAAAGATGAGGATGAGTAAATGGTGACAGATTGTTATTTGTGGGGGGTGACGTATCCCTTTCAGTTGCAGACACAGGCTTTCAACTTGGAATGTGCTTTTTATAAATTATTACCAATCATGAACTTGAGTTAAGTGTAAACTGGGTTAAATCTCGATTATTAGTTTTAAAATCATTGTATTCAAATCTCAAACCATTGTAAATTTTTCTGCCACTAATTTAAGCAAAAAAAAAATTCCGCATTTTGGGTTCAGTCATCTGCTGTGTCCAAAATTTTTACATGGCCAGAACAATGTAAAAAAAATATGTTTTTTTTTTTTAAGTTTTCTTTACAATTTATTTGCATCAAAAAATGAAAAAAATTGAAATCTCTACTTGTTTTCAAGTCAAATTAAGACTTTAAATGATAGAAGACTTTAAATGATTGAAGTACAATTAAAATGGATACTTTTTGCTTTCACTCAAGTATTTTTTAAGTGAATACATTTTTTGACATAGTATTTGTACTTTACCTTAGGGAGGCTACAATTTCTCAATATTTTTATAGCCCTATCCTTGAACGAACCATAATGTATTGCAAAATACGATTAAAGAAAAACAGCGTGTGTGGCTTTAAGAGAAAAGTGGGGGTGGCTTCAGGCGCAGTGACCTCAGCGAGGTAGAGTTTCTATTCAGTTGCGTTACCAAAACACCTGCGAGTGCTCTATAGGGAGCTATCAATTACGTTATTTTGCCGAATCATTTTTAACTTGTTTTAAAAACCCAGTTTGTGCTTTGAATTGTACTATTAAAAGTAGCGGCAGGGTTGGTTTGCCGAATATGGGGCCTCTTGCGAGTCGGGATGTGTTTTCGTGGCTACTGGTGGCCTCGGTTCTCCAGGTGTCGAGTGTGCGCTTGGCGCAGGCCAGTTACCTGTGCACGGCATTCCTGAACATTTCCTACACCCCTCCTGAAACGAACCGAACCACCTGGTATTACGAAGAAATGGGACTCTATGGGCAAGACTCACCCAAAGCTTCTGTCTTGGGGAATGTGTATTTAGCCGATCCGACCTATGGATGTGACGAGAACACCGTTTATAGACGACCGAACGATTCCAGTGGCTGGATCGCCTTAATCCAACGCGGAAGCGGTTGCACTTTCAGCGATAAAATTAACGTCGCAGCAATGAAGGGAGCTGCTGCTGCTATCATTTTCAACGACTTCGGGGCAGAAAATCGGGTCATTCAGATGTCCCACCCAGGTAAATTATGTGACTCAACGGGCTTACCACAGATGGGCTGCTGAACTTTTTAGACGGTCCTGTAACTTATAGGTTTTAGTCTGTGTATGCAAGTGTACCTTTGTCTATTTATTCTGATCAATTCTGGTCTCTATTGGGTGCCAGTTGTACTCTAACCCGGGAGATGTGTTGTGTAAGTTGTGTAAACTTGACGGTTGATACAGAGATCATGTCGGGACCTCCTCAACGCGGAAGAGCGCACGCTCTGCTCTCACATGTCCAGGATATAAAAAAAGAAACTGGACTAGATCCGCGATTTACATCTGTTTTTTTTTGGAGCAAAAACCCACTCACTGATTATCAGGAGAAATTCACTGCGGATGACGACTCAATTTTTATTTGACCTTCGTGTTTATGACAATATCATGCCATAAAAAGTAAGGGTGCGTGTACGTACATTTGCGGTGTCCTTATTTAGTATCATGAAGATAATATTATCACGTTAGTTGTTTTTTATAAAAGATGTAGGCCTACATGTTGATAATTTTTGTTTTAATTCTTTTAGAACATTTCACAATAAATAACTTTTAAATATAGGTTTTATTTAATCAGTTAACGTTTATTTCAAGTCACAAACTGCAGGTGTGAACTGTCATCACTGTGTGATTTCTGACGCCCACAGGACCATAGCTGGAATTTTTTTAAACTATAATAATCCTGGTAGATTGTTTAATTTTTTGAAAGTCATGAGAATTCTGAGCTCACATCTCTCGCGAAATAAGCTCTTTGTTTTGTTTTGTCAAGATGCATAATGTCCCCTCCCTTAATTTATAAAATGAAATTTATTTGGTTTTGTGTTGGTAAACGCCGCTAATGCTGTTTGGTGACGATTCCGTCAGGTTGTTAGGCGCAACGGTTTGTGTTTTGTTTTGCGCGTGCGTATTGCTGGTGTTTTCAGTCTCGTCTCTTTTGTGTGTGTTTCTAGGCACGAGCATCGTTGCAGTAATGATTGGCAACTACCGTGGGACGGAACTGGTCCAGCTGCTAGCCAAGGGCGTGTCCGTTTCCATAGCGATAGAGGTCGGGAAGCAGCACGGTCCCTGGATGAGTCACTATTCAGTGTTTTTTGTCTCCATCTCCTTCTTCATCGTCACCGCGGCGACTGTTGGATACTTCATCTTTTACTCCGCGCGGAGACTGACCGGCCTCAGACAGCAGAACCGCAAACAGGTACAGCACAAGATTTGCGTGGATGGCTGCTGAGTTGATGAGCAGTGAACGTTAATCGTGCTAATATAATGCGTTAATCCTACGTTTCGTAGGTAATAAATATTAGCTAATAGATGATATAGCTAATAAAATAGCTAAAAAATAGCTAATAAATGCCATTTGATGGAGATCCTATTATACATTTTGCACTCTTAACTCGGTTTCGAGCCTCCTCCAAGGACAGCAAGCCAAGTTAGTTTACTATTAAACACGGGCAGGCGGACAGGTGAAATAAAGTTTTGCACTTTAAGATCATTTCATTAGCTTTGTACACACTGCATAGTTTGTTAACCAAAGAGTGAAAACCTTATCTATATGCCAAGTAAACCTCTTTAAATGCAAAAGGCAAACTACACTGGAACTGACCACTAGGGTTTTTGGATTACATTTTATTTGCTTTCGTTTCATATCACTTTATATTGTGTTTAGTCAGCCTCAAATTTCTTGGCATGTTTGACAAGAAAAGTCAAGGAGGTCTATATTTAAAGTCCCCGTGAAATCAAAATTGAACCTATTTACTTTGTTAGCGCATATTACTAGTCTTGTGGTGAACAATTAATCCGTGCAAGTAAATATATATAAAAAAATGTTTTACCTTGGTAATCTTTAATCAAAATCTTAAAGTTACTTCCGGTCTGGAACGGTTTCTTTTTCTGATGACGTAGGTTTCACAAATTAGGTGGGGAAACGCTTAACCACTCCCCTCAAACCATTAGTTTGCTATGAGCGAGAGATGGAGAGGAGGAGCGCTAGAGTAAAACCCTGCCCTCTGTTCAATATTCCGTTTCACTTGGAAATACGTCACAGCACTGGAGAAAAATCGTTTGCAACTTCCGGTTCACGGGGACTTTAATGTGGGGACAAAGTTACTCACAGAGGCTTTGATGATGTACGCTTTATAAGTCAAAGCTTTTAAAGCTTTTAATTCAAATTTGACCAATCATGTACTTGAACCTCGAATCTCGATTGAGCTTGTTATTAAATAAAGATGGAAAAATGCACTCTCTAGTTATACAGTATCTCATTTATTATTAATACCATGTCCACACTTCTTTTTTTAAATAACATCATGACAATTGTGATCCTGTTTATCAAAAATGCCATTCTATGATATAGTCAACGTCATTATCATTACAGGTGTTATTCACAGCAATAACAACAATAGACAGCCATTGACTTTGGTTACTCATTTATATAGATGATTGTTGATCTGCCAAGTAAGTAGTTGTATAAGACTATTTGAGAATGTTACTAAATATAGATGTCAAATCCAAAGTACTGACTATGTGATCCAGTTATGATTCTATGAGACAGCATTTGTTCTAAACATCACAAATGTGTAGTTTTGCACTATGCACTTCTTGTTAATTTTTCTGGTGTAACTATCTTTTTACTGGTTGGTGTGGTTTACAGTACTGGGTTCTGAGATCATCTTTTTTTAAACTTTAATGTCATCACTGTATGTGTATGAGTTTGGTTCAATGATGGCATTAGGACTAACTTTAGTATCAAGGGAATGTTTGATCCTGGATAAAGTTTAACTAAAATCACAATCCGTCAGGGATTAACACACACACACACACACACACAGATGGACGGAATGTTTTCAGTTTGCTACTGTTGAAATGACACTGGGAATTTTTTTTCAAAAAATCTTGTTTGCAGAGAGGGGAATGCCATAAATGTAAGCTCACTAAAACTAAAAGGCATTACTGTGCTCCAAAAGTACCTTTTCCAGTTGTTTGGTATTTTGCTTGAGGTAAAACAGGAAGAAAAGAATGAAAGTAAATTGTAAAGTAAAGGTCTTTGTTTAGCAGGCCAAGATCCCATTCTAACCTGTATAATCCCATATCTCGGCAACGACCTGAGTATACAGGTTTATTCTTTATAACATAAGGAAAATCAGACCCTTTCTGTCTGATGCTGTTGATTTTCTTGTCCAAGTCAAAACAAATTTTCATACTACATTTGTGATGCATCAGCGCTTCTTTCAGAACACATTTTTAATCATTCAAACATAGCCGTCGTCACTTAGGTGCATGAACAGCACAGATTTTATGGTTCTGTCGACAATCTCCATTTACTGTCGCTGAGCGGACAGTCAGGGCTAAGTCACTTAGCGTGTGGGTAGCATAAGCTTCTGCAGATGATCTAGAACAAACCAGTCAACCAGCGAAGGTCCATTTCACATCCCTCTTTGTGTCACTCCAGTGGTTAGTTTATATAGGTGAGATAGATTTCAAGGCTTTGACGTTGGCCATCTGGACTGTCATTGGATGTGCACACTATAAGGGTATGTTCCCTCCTCCCACCATTTACAGCCAGTAAATGTAAAGAAACTGGTGTTTCCTCCACCACAAGGTACAAAGGTGTTTTCCAGAACCATCTCTCTCTTTTCCATTACGGGCTGCCAACCTCCACCTGATCTTTACGGCTTTCAAGAAATGGCTGAAGACACGCCTCTTCTGCGATTTATTTAACTAACAACCATAAACAAAGGCAATTCCTGTAATAGCTCCTTTTATAATGTAGTTTAAAGAGTGATGGTATGTAGTTTTTTTCTAGAGTAATAATAACCAGATTTACCAGATTTGAATTGACTTTTTTTGGGGTTTGTGTGAGCAATAAAAATCACTTCCTTCTTTATACTGACTTAGAATTCACACACTGTCACAATGGGTCTTATTCATGGAATTTAAAAATGTCAGATACATATTCACTCTGACTCATTTGTCTTCAAATAACACATGGTTGAGATCAGGTCAATGAAAAATCAGAAGTGTTCAAAAAGGGTAGACTGATTTACTTTTTGCTGCTGGAAAACAGTCAGTTGTAAATAATTGCTGTTTTAAAAAAGTTATCAGACATCAAATTGTTGCTGAGACTGTTGAATAGACAGATAGTTTGTTTGTATTTTTTGTTGTGTCTCTATTATCTGTTGGCCATTATTATGTTCATTTCCTCAATAGGAATTGTATGTGGTCTTGCAGGAATATACATTTATACTGTTAGCAGCAGAGTTCAACATGTCGATTCCTTTTTCAAACTGGTAGAGGATTGATATTACAATGAACACAATTCACACAGCACACATTTCACTGTCTCACAGTAGAAAACCAACACACAGGGTTGAGAAAGGTCATTGTTGTTTAGTCAATGAACACAAACTCCAGAGTTTTATGCCAGCATCTCTAGGGTGAGTTATTCTAGTTCTGCAGGCATGTCAATGTCTGTTGTTTTAACCATTCCCTAAGTGTGTGTGGTCGTACACAACTTAATAATATGAATCTAGAAGAATGCAATTGAAATTACAGAAATGAGAGTTGGATTTAACTAAACATTTGTTGGTATTCTCATAAAAGAAAAAGTTGGCACTCCACAGCTCCATTATAGAAATATTACACATGTTCTCACCAAAGTAATGAGAACATACGATAAATATATTTTCTATTTATAAAGCTGGTGTGCCAACTTTTTCCTTTTTCTGTCTGGGATGTGAAAGTGTGTTTAGCTAGAGGTTCTTTTTTGGTTATCTAGGCTAATGCATTGCCATTCATACATTTTTAAGTCTGTCTCAAGTGTCCACATTCTTGTTGTGGTCACTAGGTATGAATCAGCAGAGTAAATGAGTCCGCAGTAGTTCTCTCGCTGAAGGTTGAGTTGTTTCTTTTTCTATACTAAATGTAATGTTCCATTTTTACATATTTACTTAATAATCCTAATCTGAAGTTCCTTTATTGTATTTGTAGGTGGTTGTGTAGCCGAGGAAACAAAACTAACTAATTAAGCAAACGAGTACTCATGTTACAGTTTAACAACATTCATACACTTCCTGAAAAACCAGTAAGACCAGCCCAAAAACACAGAAACACATTTCAAGCCATGTTTGTCTGTTCTTTTTCAGAAAAAGCTGAAAGCTGAAGCAAAAAAGGCCATTGGCCAGCTGCAGGTCCGCACACTGAGACAAGGGGATCAGGTACATTTAAGCACCATACATGCTTCTATTTGTATTTATGCCTTTACTTTATTTATGTATTGCCTTTTGTATGAATGTAGAATTTATTTTTTTTAAAACATTTTAGGTCTGTATTTGTAAGCAAGAGTTTAGTTTAGTTGTTTATTTAAAAGGAACCAAAAGACATGAAATGGCATTTACATTTTTCTGGGGGAGGACCCACCCACTTTTTTTCTCCCGACGCCCATGCATGTAAGTGCTTGTGGGTTTATCCTTTTTTTTCATGTTGTGGATGGTACATTTTTTGGCAATGTGTAACAGGAGTGTACATGTTACAGCACTTTTGGACACTTCGGGCTATTTCACACTGTGCTTAACCCTGGGCGATTGACGTTCTAACCCCAGCTTTTAACCTCGAATAAAGTAATGTTTCACACTTGTAATCTAGAAGTGGGGTTAGCGCTGCTTTTTACCTGGGGATAGCAAATGCCTCATACTCACAGGCTTTGAACAGTCATGGAAACACTGAGTGTTGAATAAACAGACATTATAGCGTGATAGAAGAAGAAGTGAAGAAGACACCATTTCATTCTTAACTTTATAGTTCCAAAAGTCTGTTCTGGGTAAACTTGATAGTACAGTCGGCTATATATAATATAAAGATGTTTTACATTATGTAAAACATATCGGGTGTTATGTTTGTCCATTTGCAAATACGCAAATAAGGATGTTAACCTGGGGTTCAGGAATGTCCGGTGTGAAACGTCATCTTATGAATAGATTAGTTGGTAAGCCCAGATAAAGTGTGAACAATGTGTAATGTGATGCAAGATAACCCAGGATTCCATTTACCTAGGGATTCTAATGACCCAGGGTTAACTAGTTCAAGTGTGAAAATTGAGTCAAAAGCCAAAATATAGCATAAAAACAATGTTTTTTTTTACACTATTGCACAGTTAATTTGCATGAAAGATAAATGATTCAATGTAATGGCTTATTATGAATAGGATAAGTTATTAATTGCAGATAAACGAAGAACTGAATGACCCATCAGTGTGAATGATGTTTTGATGATTTATTCATGTGTGTATATCTATGTTTCACAGGAGACTGGCCCCGATGCTGATACCTGTGCAGTTTGTATTGACTTGTATAAACCAGGAGATGTACTGTCAGTTCTTACATGCAAGTATGTCTCTCTGTCTTTCACTCCATTCCATCTCCATCAATCGCTGATGTTTATTACTTTTTTTTCCCTGTCCTTTCAGTTCTAATGTGTGCACAATGTGTGTTTTGCAGTCATTTCTTCCATAGATCTTGCATAGAGCCGTGGCTGCTAGAGCACAGAACCTGCCCAATGTGCAAATGTGACATTCTTAAAGCCCTTGGAGTTGAGGTGAGTTTTCACACTAGGACTGTTTGTCGCCCCAGACATAGATTCAAAAGTACATTTATGAATTAATGAACTTTTTTCAACCGCCCTTATCAAATTTTATATTTTTACCTACCTTCTTTCAAAGAGGCACCTCAGTAGGTAGGATGTTGTGTAAACAACGTGCCTTGATGCTTTCCGGATGCTGCCTGATAAGAATTTTTCAGATTACCGACACAGGGCCCTATTTTAATGATCTAAAGCGCAAGCGTCAAGCGCAAGTAACTTTGTGGGAGGATCTCGGCGCTGTAGCTATTTAAGCGGCGGGATGAATGACTCCTGCGCTCGACGCAAATCTGAATTAGCTTAATTATTCATAGGTGTGGTTTGGGCGTAATGGGAAACAAACCAATAAGAGCACCATATCACATTCCCTTTAAGAGCGTGATGAACGAGTTGCGCTTGTTCTATTTACCAGACGCGCTTCAGATTCAGAATCGGTTCACAGCCGAAGAGATCGATGTTCTCGTCAAAGCCGTAAAAAAAGAGAAGTGCCATTGGGGATGGGACTAACCCACCCAAATTGCAAAATACGAATGATACATGGTGAACAAAGTCAATTGCGCTGGGTGCAAGATAGGGCCCATAGTCTTATTGTTAACACAGTAAAACAAAGAAGATAAAAGCTGAACAAAAGCAAACAAACCAGAACTCTATTTCCTCTCAGTTCAGTTTAAAGCTCTACCATGACAATCCAAATGTCCTGTTGTTTATCATGCTGAGGTGTTAGCAACTTAGCTGCTGATGGAAAACATAGCATTACTAAGCATTATTTAAAAAGGAAAAGAAGACGACAATGCCAAATTCTTTCTGTGCCTCGGGGTAGGAGGGCGAGAGGAACAGATGTTCAAAAGCTCTGGTATTATTCCTGTTCAGTGTGAGACAGCTCATGTGTTTAAAGCAGTTATTTCTGAGTCATGCAGAGTCACAGGGAGCAGCGTTACATTGCTGTTTGTGTTGGCTAATGTTGATTGCTCCTGGGAGAGAAATTGTTCTTTGGTCTTTGGTCATCTTCGTAATTTGAAATCTTTTATTGTGGCAATGAGTGAAGATGGAAAGAGATCCATCAGCAGTGACACACCTCAGCTCAAAGTTTATTTGTCACATGGTCGAGTGAGACTATAAAACGCTTTTTTTTCTCAAGGCTTTACAGCGAAAATACAGTAAAATCAGTCATTTTGTAAAATATTGCAATTTTTAAGCTGAATTTCCAGCATCATTACTCCAGTCTTCAGTGTCACATGATCCTTCAGAAATCATTCTAATATCATGATTTGGTGCTAGGGAAACATTTCTTATTCTTATTTTTTACATTATCAACAATGTTGAAAATACTTGTGCTGGTTTTTCCCAGAATTCTTTGATAAATGGAAACTATTAAATGGGTGGATATTGTAGTAATCATAATATACATGTACACATTCCATACAGATATGCAAGTAATATACAGATACATTATTAAAACATTATTACATTATTTGTTTATTTATTTATTTTTTTAATTATAGATTATAATCACTAGGTGTCACTAGGCTATGGTGGTATTTGGCTTTCTGCAGCAAGCACCATATCTGGGATGCTTTTTTTCCTGGCCTTAGCCCTGCTCACCTTGGTGAATCTTGACAGATTGGGCTGCATACCTGCGGTGTTACATTCTGTTGCTTGTACTATCCTCTGTAAGTCTCTTTGATACTGCTCCTATTCCAGGCAGAAGTACAGCCTGGCAGAATGCTTTCGATGGAGTACATGTTTTCCCATCCTTAATTTCCAGAAGCAGTGATAGGTCCAGTGTTCTGTTTCCTCAAGTTCAATACTTTGCAATAGTCTTTTCTTCCTTATTATAATGTTTATAAAAATCTAGAGAATATCACACTGTGTTTGTTGCACCTTGGGAGCTCACTGAATGTTCTGAAGTAGTAGCAAAAACAGCATAACTGTAGTGTAAGGGGTGTTAACTTACGTAGCGTTAGTAAGTAACTGCACAGTGCACATGATGTGTTCTCCTCTTGAACATCCTGTCATGAGCCTTGATTACAGTAACCAGATGGTTGATGGATCCTCTGTCACTTGTTATTACAAAAACTGCTCTCACTGAAACTGGACTGCTGCTTAGTCATCATGCTTCGCATGTACAGAAAGCTGGAGGATTAGTTCTGTTTGCTCTTCTCTCTTTGGCAGCCTGGTTTTATTCTTTAGCCCTTCAAGTCTGGAGAAGTCCATAATTTTAGGGAATTTGCCATAAAATCTAGTTTTCAATTTTAAACATTCAGTCAGTGCACACTAAAAAAATATTTGGCCAGATATTTTCTGACATGTATTTTTTTGATCTTCTGTCTCTTGTAGTTGGATGAAGAGGAGCAGCCACACATTGCAGTGCCTGATTTCAGATCCTTTTCTACCTCTGAGGACCTGCAGAGCGAGACAGCATCACACACACACAGTGAGACTGCATCCTCTGGATATGCATCCATGCATGGAATCGAGCACCTAGGTCCTGCTGAAGGCACACAAAATGGTATGAAAAAACATGCAAACAATCACATTACTCGCGTCATGTAGAAACGCACAGCTTACTGTGATTTTTACTAATTAATTTTCAAATACTGCATATCTGTGCTGAATGTCACACATTAATATATATAATATATGCAGCTTTTTGTGTTTTCTATTGAAAACCCACCAATAACCATGATGTACTTATTTAATTGGTGTTGGTGACAAATGTATAGCTACATGTAAATATTTTTGTGCATAATTACTAAAATTGCTATCCATACAGAAGGCAGTAATGGCACTGGCATAGAAATACTCATAATTCTGCTTTGCTGAAAATAGCTTGTACACTGATTGCACTGTACTGTACATTTAAATGTTTTAAATTATTAGTTCTTGTTTTTGAATGATAACATTCACTTTTAAATGAATGCATTTCCAGTTAAATAATGTACTGATTTCTACTGGTGAAATTAGGCAAGCTGCCACAAATAATGCAGTTTGTTTGATTTTGTGTTTAATTCTGCAATCCTCAAAATGGATCCTGTTTTTTATACTCTTTAATATACTAACTATTTTTGATTAAATCTATGTCTAGTAATTTATGTCCAAATAATATATGTGATAGTTTGATGCTTCTCTGTATTTGCTGATTTGATGAAGTTGTCCACAGCGAACCTTAAAGCTGAAGTTTGTAATGTTGAAAATAAATTTGGAGATGGTTGTTATTGTTTTTTTTGTTTTGTTTTTAAATGCTAATGGAGAAAATGATTGGGAGAAAAAAGATGCTTTTAAAAACAAGGTAATAGGTCAGTTTTTGGTCTTTTGGTCTGAGTGGTTTGTTGTGATTGGTTTGCAGATGTGCAAGAGGAGCAGTCGGTCGCGTCACCTCAGTATGAAAATCTTGCCTTTGAGGGCGATGTTCACGGCCAGAGTGAAGTCAGGACCTGAGCAGCATCAACAAACACTGATGCAATGTACACATACAGATAAATGAAGGGTTTTGATTTGAGGACTTTTATTGAAGCACTGCTGAGCCCTATTCTGATTAGTTTCTGACTAAGTGCCTACAAATTCTCTTTCTCTCTCTCTCTCTCTCTCTCTCGGGTCTGTCGGAGGTCACGTTTTAATTGTCTGTGGTTAATTCAGGATATGATTTCTAATTCAGGTTTGATTCCCACTGTGGTTGTGTCAGGATTTGAGACTCACGGCCTTCCATAGGGTCATGATGTCAGAGCAGCTGTGGAGACATACAGAGAGCAACAAGAGTGCTCCACCTGCTGTACATCAGTGGACTTAATGCATACTGTACTTTTGCCTTTTTTTTCCGTGGCTTATTAAAATATATTGTTCCAGTTTTTATGGAAATGTTTAAATTCAGAAATATTGTGCCTTACACACACTTATGTAAGTCTGCAAATGTACATTACTCTTTGCATAGACCTAATGGGGCTGGTTTTAAAATATCTGGATTAAGTTCGCCTGATTTTAATATTTAAATAAGAGATGGAAATATTTCTTTATTCTTTCAGATGAATAGTACTGACATTAAAATTAACTTTGTAAATAAAATATTTTATGAAATTTACTGTTTATTATTCAGTGTTTTTTTTTTTTTCATTTTCATATTCAGTGTTTTTCCATTTCACAACTCAGTTCCTTTTATTGAATCCAAAACAATTCACACAAATCAATCAGAGTGGGTCAAATAAATCTGAATCACTTACTGAGCTGAAAATTACTTTTGTCATAAAAGAAGAACACCAAGAATTAGGGTATTATATGAGACTTTAATCCGTGCAATTCATGGCCGTTCTACTTTGTATGACAATGGTTGGTTGAAGATCACACAAGTTGTAATCAGTGGTGTTCGATAAAATGTTTGGCATACCAATATTTTATTTCTTTAGGCTTTTTTAAATTCAATATATAGTTAGAGCCAATTACCAATTATTGAACTTGTTAACTTTTAAATAAACTAAACACACCTTTTGCTAGAATCTTTTTATTCTTATTTTTTCAAAAGTATTTATTATCGTTATTGGAATCCAATCGTTATTGGGAAAACCGGAATCTTTATACTTTTCAATTCCCACCCCTAGTCCTGAAACATGGAAGAAACTAACGAGTTCCAGGTAAGAACGCTGTCATAAACAAATGTTGCTGTCCCTTTAAATAATTTGAAACAAAGTCATGAGGTTGAGCGGGAATTGTGGGAAATGTAGTCGATAGTTTTCAGGGTAGCGTTCTTCTCTACTCAGCGCGGCAGATGTGGAAGACTACAATCCCACTGGCGCCGGTGTCGCTGTCTTTGGCTCAGTTTCTGTCGACGTGGGAAAAGCGGTCCAAGAGCAAACAACACGCAAATCTATGGGTGTATGCGCTTGAGATGATCCGAGTGTCATGCAAGAGGACGCGTATTTCTGAAAACAAATTCCAGCATGTGGCTCAAACCCGAAGAGGTGCTTCTTAAAAACGCGCTGAAATTATGGGTGACGGAGAAATCCAACGATTACTTCGTGCTGCAGCGCAGACGCGGATCCGGAGAGGACAGCGGGGGATTGACAGGTAAGTTAACGTTACCGCTAACGCGCGGATATCCGTGTGCAAGCTCTAAACATGAAAGGCTGTTTAATACTTTAATAATTTTGCTAAATAAGTATTCAAGTGTGGCGTCTTTTTCGGTGTTACACCTTAAATGACACACCTCAAATGCTTTTCGTAACTATATTTTGTTTTAACCAAAAATAATTTTGCAACAGGTCAAGGGTTATGATATGATGTTTTTCAAGTTTCGTTATCAATGGTCTGGTGATGTGCTCTTTTGAGTGCTGACGTCACCACTGCGGTAAACTGACCGTGTGCGTAAAGGTACTTAAAAATGCAACATTCATCCAGACATTATATTTTTAAAAGCTGGAGCCTAAACTGGTTTAATACAGAGAATATTTAGATAGATCTGTAGTGTCGTCATCTCTCCTTTGACAGCAGTTGTTGCGTCATTCTGTGACGCCAGGTTATTTAGGTTTCAGGTGGATTCAGCATGTTTACTGTTTACTGAGGTTGTCTTAACAAAGTCCATCTGAAAGAAGGCCGGTGATGTGATCTCGGAATATCTTACCATCAAAGGTCAACAAGATTAATGCAAGTTTTGTGTCATTTTAAGCCAATTTACATTGTTTATTTTAAAGGTGAACTCATGATTTTTTTTTAAAACGTTTTTTTTATGTTAGCAGTTTTTTAAGTTTTGAGAAATTATGTAGTAACGTTACTTACAAAAATTACTACTAATAATTCAGATTTTATTTTTTAGTTTATTTATTTTGTTACAGTTGATCCACCATTTCAAACTGACCGAGAGTACGTACAAATAAAAGAAAATAGATGCAAGCAGGACCACAGCTATGAAATTGAAAGTGGTGCTAAAAATTGTTTATTATTTACAAACAAATAAATTATCAGCCTAATAACAGGCATACTGTCATGGAGTCTCCTCCAGTACAAAGGAACATGTGGCCAGAATGGTTGTTGAGCTGATTATAGGTTTTACTTTAATTATTAGTGACTTTTTCCCCCTTTGGAGTTCATCACCATGGAAACCTTTGCTTCATGATGAAGAGCCTTAATACAGCAGCTTCTTTCTGAAGCAGTGTGTATAAGGAGTGCAGAGAGGATATCATTTCCAGTGACTATCACAATAATTTGTCCCTGCTAACATCTCCAGTAGAGACATTGCAAGATATAAATCCATTCAAACCTCAGAGTATGCTATATATTTTTTTATATCTTTATTTGAATATATTTTCAAATGTAATTTATTCCTGTAATGGCAAAGCTGAAGTTTCATCAGTCATTAAGTGTCACATGATCCTTCAGAAATCATTCTATAGCTATAATGATAACGATAGTTTCATTATAGTTATATAATAAAGTAAATTCATTATAGCTATAAAAATTCTAAATATAAAAGATATTATTGGAATCACATTCACAAAAACATTTTCCAGCTGATGAATGCAAACATTGACAACCAATGAGAATCCATCCTGCTTTAATGTGCACTAGCATTTAAAGTGGCGGGTGACAAAACTGCTGCATGTGCTTATAATAAATACAACAATATTATCTGTGGGATTTTTTTTTTATCATTGTTTTAAACAGCTGCTTAATATTTTTGTGGCTTTTTTGATTAATAGGAACAGCAGTTATTTGAAACGGGAAAACTGACCACATTCAATTGCAATTCAGACTGCAGATTTTAAGAAATGTAGCCACATTTTAGGCTCAGGGATATGTTTTTATAATGTTACGTTTGTTGTTTTACATCATTGTTTTAGGCCTGCTGGTCGGAACTTTGGACACAGTTTTTGACTCTACAGCCAAAGTTGCTCCGTTTCGCATTTTACACCAGACGCCTGACTCTCAGGTTTACTGGATTATCGCCTGTGGTGAGAGAGATGCTGCACACAGTGTTAATGTGTATGAGGGTTCATTCAGATCCTAATTTAATGTGTGTGTGTGTGTGTGTGTGTGTACAGGAGCATCTTTAGAGGAGATCTCACAGCACTGGGACTGGCTTCAGCAGAACATCATCAGAACTCTCTCTGTGTTTGACTCTGGTGAAGACATCACCAGTTTTGTCCAGGGAAAGATAAGGGTGAGAGGGTTATTTGGCTCCCATACACCTTTGATTGTTTTTATCCCCTGTTTTTGTGTTTTGTGGTATTTTAGATATTAGTCCCAGCTCTTGCTCTTGTATTGACTTTAGTGGTGGTATGTTGTTCGTGTAGGGTCTGATAGCAGAGGAGGGCACATCCGCAGATGACGAGGAAGATCCCGAACGCTTCCGGGAGGCAGTGCTGCGCTTTGAACGTCTGTTTGTTTTGCCTCAGAAAGAGAAGCTTGTGACGTATTTCTCTTGCAGCTACTGGAGAGGACGAGTGCCAAACCAGGGCTGGATCTACCTCAGCACCAACTTCCTGTGTTTCTACTCCTATATGCTGGGAAATGAGGGTTAGAAACATGCTGGCCTGCTTACACATAATACCACAAGCTCTATTACAGTACCATTTTATCGGGGCGCGATGTTAAAATATTGCGTGTATTAAAGGTTGTCTGAGCGATCCTGGGTGTGGTGTTGACGTTCGGAATATTTTCGAACAAATCGGAGGCTAGCTAGACCCTCCCTCCTCCGCATCTCATCCCCTCCCCCTCCCTTCCGTCCTTCCTGAAATAATTGTGTACGTGCATTTCTAGCTAATTATATCCTTGTGTGGGTTTGGCGAACATAAGCGTCAATTTAGAAGAAAAAAAACAATTTAACGTTACCCACCTGTCCAGCAAAAACAGAGCAACCTGAATGTCGGACTGGAAGCCCTTCTGCCGCCGGACTTCTCGCCATTGTTCAAAAGCTTTGCTACCGATGTAAATTCGGAACTTCGCACGTTCTTTATCCGACTCCTTCTTCTTTTTAATTTGCCAGTGATTGGCTGGAACACTGTTTGTTAGGTTTCGTGGTCCGGGTGAGACATGATTGTTTTTGTTGCCGTTTGTGGAGCCTGTGGTGTCTACAGAGACCGCGTTTTTTTACAGTGTGTTTAGGGGACAGGCAGCTAGCCGATAGTGAGGAGACGTTTGATGTGTGTGACAAAAAATGTTTTGGCCCCACATCGCTTAGAGAACCTTTAACAAAGTGTTTTTTAAATCGGTTGCTGCTAAAGCCCCACAAATATTATGGCCCTATTTAATTTTACACCTGGTATTAAGATGCATTTTGGTTGATTGAATTACAAGTGAATGAGGCTAAATACAGGTTTAGACGGGGTCTAAAGTGTTTTGTTCACTTTCAACCACTTCCAGAGGTAGTCGAAAACGCATTCGACTAGATTGCTTTCGTAGTGTGGACACTCATTTGGTCGAATGTGATAGAACAGCCACAAAAATCCGCCTACCGACCTAATTGTGAGAAGCGCACTAGCCAGACTGGATTTAAACTGTCAGCTGCAGACCTATATTCGGTTTGAAGACGAAAATCGTACCAAGCATAATGTTCTCTCACCATTCCTCATGTCTAACACACACTCACAGATTTCGCCTTGGTCTTGCCGCTGTCAGAGCAGAAACCAAAGCTGCTTTTTTTGTCCATTAGATTGAAAGATCTAAAAAAAAAGCCCATACATTCATCCGCCCATAAACCATCCTCTTGAATAAATCGGGACAGAAGTCATTAAAAGTGGACAAAAGAGAAGGATTAAGCTTCAGGTGTTAACAGTAGTGTGTCTCTTTGGTCTACTTGTGATCTGATCAACCAACACGCGTCTTAATACCAGGTGTAAACAGGGCCTATGATACTTTTTCCAGGGAGCCACTTCTTAAAATATAATGGCAGCAATGTATTTTCACATGTGACCCGTGTATTTATACGTCTGAGAAATATAAAGCATATGACATCAAGATTTTGTTTCTCAAACAACATGATTGGTTGTTATTTTCAGCATTTTGTGGCCGCCTGAATCACTGTATTCACTAAGTTACATTATCATACCTAAGTTTACAAAGCAATGAGTACTGAGCAATGAGTTTTTTCCACACGCAAAGAGGTTAACCAATCATAATTGAGGACATAGGAAAGTCCTAAAGGGATAGTTCACACACACACACAAAAAAAACTCCTTTTTTTGATTGTAGTCCTTGAAAACCAAAAAAGTAGTGCTTGAAAAGTCCTTGAAAGTCCAGGTATTTAGTTTTACAGTGTTCACTTCAGTGTTTTATATTATTCATGGTTTGTGCATTTCTTGCTTAGTGAAACGAGTGTATCCCTGGGATGAAGTGAGCCGTCTGGAACGTACGTCAAGCGTGATGTTGACAGAGAGCATCCGTGTGCGTGTGCGTGGAGAGGATCATTTCTTTTCAATGCTCCTGAGACTCCAGCAGACTTATCTGATCATGCAGCAGCTGGCCGACTACGCCATTGTGCGGTTCTTCGATAAAGAAACATTTAATGCTGAGCATCCACTAGCCAACCCCCTTCACATCACGCAAAGGTGCATTCGTTTTATTCCTCTGAATGTTACCGTTGTTTTGTTTTTACTGAACAATGTCTGACTACTGTCATCTTTTCAGGGCTCTGGAAATACATGCACGGAATCAGTCATTCCGAGCTTTTTTCCGGTTGCCACAGGAGGAAAACCTTTGTGAAGTGTACGAGAGTTTCCTCTGGGTTCCATTCAGCCACGTCAATGCGCTTGGAAAAATCTGTGTCTCTGAGAACTATCTGTGCTTTGCAAGCCAGGATGGGTCTCAGTGCCATCTCATAATACCTCTATGGGAGGTGCGTAAACTGCTCATTTTTCTGCAAACTGCTATGCTTAATTGTGTTGAATGTGCACTGATGTACTTCAAATCTTAAAAGTATATATTAAAAAAAAGCTGTACTTCCAGATCATATAAATTAAATACAAGGCCACTCAAATTGTACATTTCAGTACCCTTAACTTTCATTTATATGTATTAATTTAGTAGATGCTTTTATTCAAATTAACTGACAAACGAGGAATACAATGTACAAGTGCTTACAAATACAAATACAATGTGATTAATGGGTATTCATGTTTTAACACTAAAATACACTTTTATAAAGTGCACTTTGTAGTTTTGTCAAATTAAAAATGTCAAATTGATTTTCTTTTAGAGAAATACTTATTTTGATATGTTGACTAACATAACTGAAGCACATAAGTCTATTTCTATTTAATAGTTTATTTGATAGGGGCCATGCATATTAAAGCTAGGGTATATGATTTCTAAGATTGTTCATTATTAATATCCTCATTTAGATGCTGGTTATGGTTATATAGTACAATCCTAACAATATGAATAGAAAAACCCCCGAAAAAAATCCATTCACTCTATTGGCTGTACAGCCGCAGAAAAGTTGACCAATGTAAGCTGTGCGGCCGCACAGGGTTTAAAACTTCCCTACCGTCTCGACCGATTTTTAACATCGTCTACCATAGCTTTAATGAACATTATTGTATGATACAATATGTAAATATGCCAGAATTAGTAAACAAATACTACTTTTCATCTGCATAAGTATAAGTTCTTGATTATAATTTATGTAGTGTGTAAGGATATATTACACACTACATAAATTACAACTTTAACATTTCAAATATGTAATAAATATATTTGTGTTCAAGTATATTTTGTGGCTTGGGAGTTTTGAAAAATTCATAATTCCTAGTTTTGTTTTGCAATCAGTGTGTTTGCTTATTTCTGTGTTTATTATGGCATTAATGTATGCCTGCAGGTGTTTAGTGTGGAGCTGCCAGACCGCAGTAGCCGTGCCCTGACTGTGTGTCTGCGTGGGAAGAGAGCTTTGCGTTTTTCTGAGGTTCGGGATTTTGAGCGTCTTGCTGCCACCATCCGCAGAAAGTGTGTCACAGCAGGAAGCCCCCAGCATTGTATCAGTAATCCGGTAAGTCCTCTACACTACAGCTATAATATAAAGAAATGATGTGTTAACTTACCATATCTCACCTGTTATTATATACATTCCATAGCAATTAAAAAAAGTCACAGACATGTTTAAATTAAAAGTATCTCACATTTCATATCATGCTTTTGTGAAAAAAGGAAAAAAAAAACTGTACAAATCCCAGATGATTCTTATTGGACACTAAATTGAATGTGTGTCTTTCTCTCTGAGGATGAGGAGGGTGTGATGGTGGGGCAAAGTCAAGCTGTCAGCACTGAAGCTCTCATGAACGTCTTTCATCCACACGATGCGGAAAACCTTGACCCCAAAATGGTAACCTTTTTTGGTTACACATTAAAATGATCAAGAGTGACAGTAAAGATGTTTTCTATTCATTAGGGAATTCTGAAAAAAAAAATATCATAGATTAACAGCACAACTGATTTTAACATTGATGATATTTGGAAATGTTTCTTGAGCAAAAAATCAGCATATTAGAAAGACTTCTGATGGATCATGTGACACTGAAGATTGGAGCAATTATTCAGCATTGGCATCACAAGAAAACATCCTATTTTTTGATTAAATAAATGCATCCTCAATGAGCATAAAAGACTTCCTTATAAATTCTTACAGACCCAAACTTTTGATCCCACTGTTGACAGCTGAAGGAGCGAATGAAGGAGCAGTCGTGGCAGATCCACTTTGCTGAATATGGCCGTGGAACCGGAATGTTTTGCACCAAAAAAACACGTGATCTCATTGTACGAGGAGTTCCAGAGACTCTCAGAGGAGAACTGTGGATGCTCTTTTCAGGTGTGTGTGTGTGTGTTTGCACAGTAGGTGTGTGCTGCAGTTTGTACAAGTATGTTTGCTTGTGTTGTATAGGTGCAGTGCATGACATGACCTCTCACCCTGGGTACTATGGACGCCTGCTGGAGGAGTGCATGGGCAGCAGCTCACTCGCATGTGATGAGATTGAGAGAGATCTGCATCGCTCTCTCCCAGAACACCCAGCATTCCAGAGTGACACAGGAATCTCGGCACTTCGCCGCGTCCTGACTGCCTATGCTCACCGCAACCCCAAAATCGGCTACTGCCAGGTATACACACACGTGATGCTTTCATATAGTCTTCACACATGGTCTCAGCATCAGATGGTGTGATGCTTCTTGTGCACAAATCTTTGTTAAAATCTTTCTCAAAGCCATCAAGTTGCACTCTAAATGATTGACTACACAATCTCAGAGAGTCATACTGGTTTGTAATGGCCTAGTGTTTTAATGGCATAGAATTGTTTTTATATATTTGCTCAGCAAATGTTTAAATGTCAGTTAGATGATCGTGTCGTGTCTAAGTGACCGGTTGTAGCTTCAAAGGATAGAAGACTTTATGATGTGCATGTCTGTATTCAACATCATGCTTTTGCACAGCAATAGAGCATTGTCTGCCAGACTATCTCACACACTATTATTAATTTATTTATATAATTATTCATTATCCATGCACTTAAACATCAGCATCATTTATGGCACTAATATTTGATATTAAATCAGATCAGAACAAGCGCAAAAATGAGAAACAGCTAAATCTATGGTCATTAAGAACATAACATGAACTCTGGAGCCTCATATAAACATTGTTGTGTGCAAAACAGGAATGATATGAAATATATATGTTTTGTTAATCCAACACTTTGTCTATTCAAAGTATAATCATGGAAAATATGCAAAGTGAAGTCTATGCATTTGAAAGATATTGTGACTGTTTTTTATTTGTAAGAAGTCAGATTATTAAAATATATCATTTATATTTATTTATATTAAACAGAGATGTATAGTAACGAAGTAGAACTACTTAAGTGCTGTACTTAAGTACTAAAATGCTGTATCTGTACTCTACTAGAGTATTGTTTTTTCTCATACTTCTACTTTTACTTCAGTAGATATTTTCGATGAATTTAATACTTTTACTTCGATATTTTTTTAATGTTCTGCTAGTTACTCGTTACAATTATAAAAATTGTACAAATCATTTGTTGCAAGTTGGCTTTCATGCTGCCTAAATCACACAGCAGTTTTATTTTTTACACACACTAACAACTAATGCAGGGGTTGTCTTGCAATGACTTTTTTTTGGCGGCCGCCAAAGCAAATTTGTATCCCGCCAAAGCGCCTTATTTGATTGCTAGTTCAAACTTTTGACTGCTTTCTTTAATAATTACATGACACAATACTTGTACTTTTACTTTTAGTACTTAAGTAGTGAATTTTAAAATAAACTACTTGCAATACTTAATTACAAAAAATGTTGAATACTTTACTTTAGTACTTCTACTTACGAATGGTGCTTAAAGAGCACTTCAACTTCTACTCAAGTCACTTTTTTGATAGAGCACTTGTACTTTTACTCAAGTCTGGGTTTCTAGTACTTTATACATCTCTGATATTAAATTTGTCTATATACAATGACATGACTGTTCACTTGAAATTAAATTCTGTCATTACACACCCTTATGACATTCCAAACTCACATTTATGTTTTTAACCTCTTTATTCACTGAAAGTCTTATTCTATCAATGATGTGAATTCCAGATATTATTTATGACATCATTTATCTTTAGATTCTCTCTATATATTCTCACTCATTGTTTATATGTCGGTCTGTCCAGGCGATGAATATCCTGACGTCGGTGTTGTTGCTGTATGCTAAAGAGGAAGAGGCCTTCTGGCTGCTGGTTGCTGTGTGTGAACGAATGCTCCCAGACTACTTCAATCGCAGAATTATTGGTATGTGTGTGAGAGCTGGTTATACATATCTCATACCCAGAATGTCATTGAATCATCTTAATAAATTTGCAGGTTGCCAAAGGTGTTGTAATTGCTATTTGTAATTGTGTTGTAATTGTTATGTTTTCCAGGTGCATTGGTGGACCAAGCCGTGTTCGAGGAACTGATCCGTGAGCATCTAACCCAGCTGACCGAACACATGACAGACCTGTCGTTCTTCTCCTCAGTGTCGTTGTCATGGTTCCTGACTCTCTTTATCAGTGTACTGCCAATTGAAAGTGCCGTGAATGTTGTCGATTGCTTCTTTTATGATGGAATCAAAGCCATTCTGCAGCTTGGCCTTGCTGTGCTCGACTACAATATGGACAATCTGCTTTGTTGCCATGACGACGCAGAAGCCGTCACGGTCCTCAACAGGTGATTGGAACATTGTCATTTTATAATAGCCAACCATGTGGGTAGCAAGCTGGATTGATCCTTCTATCAGTTCCTTTTATTTGTGTGGCCTGTCTGCAAGAGGTGAGCATTTTGTAGTAGAGGTTGACCACTGTGAAAATCACAAAAATCAATTTGCACGTATGTTTGTTATTACCACCACTACTAGTACATGGCTCTTTTGTCCATCCTGTGTAATTCATTCAGCCGAGATCAGGATGACCGAACCTGCAGAGTGTCTTTGGATGACAAGCTGCTGTTTAATTGTAGTTGTTTGCTAAATTTGCAGTGGATTTTTATATTTACAAACTCGATCTGTCTTCATATTTGATTTTATCCTTCAGGTTTTTTGACAATGTCACAAATAAAGACAGTCCTCTACCAGCTACCGTGCAGCAGGCATCTGCAACAACCAATGACAAATCAGTACAAAAGGTTGACATTTGTGATCTCATCAAAGAGGCGTACGAGGTAAATCTGCACACTTTAATGCACCGTAGTGAACATTAAAATCTGTCTGTACAAAGAAAAAAACATGTTAGGAATGTCTCATTTGTAAATCACTTTGGCTAAAAGCGTCTGCTAAATGATTAAATGTAATATCTTTGTTAATACTTCTTTGACGATTAACACCTTTACTCAGGTTGACAGATTATATTTTGTGTAAATTTTGTGTTGACGGATCAAGGGAAGCCCCTTCTCCGACAGGCCTGAAACAGACAGAATAATGAGGCGTCTTTGTTTCAGAAATATGGAGACATTCGAACAGAGGAAGTGGAAAACATGCGAAAGAAGAACAAGCTTTATGTCATTCAGACATTAGAGGACACAACAAAACAAAATGTAGTGAGTACAAATGTGTGTGAAGTGTGAACCATATTCCTTTACAGTCCTTGTGTCATATGATATTATTATATTATAATAATAAATTTGCAAATTTGATTTTGATCAGTAAGATTTGATGAAACTATTTAGCAAGGATGCATTCAATTGATCAAAAGGGACTGTTAAAAATGTTTCAAATGGCTGCTTTCACTGTTCTGTGATTTGTGAGGTATCATGTGACACTGAAGACTAGACTAATGGCTCCTGACAAGACAGGAATAAATGACATTTTTAGATGTATAAAAATAGAAAAATATTATTTTAAATTGTAATGATATTTCTTTGATCAAATAAATGCAGCCTTAGTGAGCATAAGAGGAAACATTTTTCAGAAACATTGCAAAAACCTTACAGACCCCAGACTTTGGAATGTGGTGTAATCTGAATCATTTCTTCTTTACATATTGTTTGCATATACAGTGGCATTAAATTTTAAATTGTTTAATAGTCCGTCATTTTTTTGTTTTATATTTCTGCAGTTGCGTGTTGTTGCTCAAGGTGTGAAGTTCAGTGCTGCTCAGCTGGATGAGCTCTACTTGCTTTTTAAGGTGAATTACACTGTACAAACTGGTGCTTTTCAGGACATAGAGGCCTCAAAATACAGCCGTTGCCACATGAACCATGTGTGCTTGTGTGTCTCTTAAATTTCTTTTTGAGTTTGTGTGAGTGTGGGCATATGGATATATAGTGTCTATGTTTGTGTGTTGCAGAGGCAGCACTTTGTGAGCTGTTACTGGTCAGTGTGCAGTCCTTCCCTGCAGAACCATGACCCAAGCCTTCCTTATCTGGACCAGTATCAGCTGGATCAGTCCCAGTTTAGTTGCCTGTTTAACCTCCTGCTGCCATGGACCACACATATGCATGCATGCTCGCTGGCAAGATCAGCCTTTCATATTCTGGACGAGAATGGAGATGGACTTGTGAACTTTAAAGAATTCATATGCGGTCTGGGTAAGAGTATCTTAACTCTGCCCTTTGACCTTTCACCTCAGTACATAGCAGCTTGCTTTCCAATCTGTCAGATTCAATCAAGTGTGTGTGTGTGTGTTGCAGATATCTTATACAACCGATCATTCACAGAAAAACTAAAACTTCTCTTCAAACTACACCTTCAACCAGGTAAATTCATTATCTGATCTCTCCCACTGTGCTATATTTAGTGTGAACATACCGATATGGTTAATATGCATATATATGAGATGTATTTTATAGATTCATCTCTGTACGTCCCCTTTACGAACTTGTGCAATTTGTATACCTCAGTAACCCTTAATTATCTATATATCTGACCCATGTATAACCCTGTATAATCTGTATGTCTTTGTATAATCTAGAAGTCTTACCCCTCAATAACCTTTTTTTAATCTATACAGGGTAATAGTTGGATCAGATATATAATCTATATGTCCTCTAACCCCTCTATAACCCTGTTTACTCTATATACAGTATCTGACTCCTCTGTAACCTTGTATAATCTATATATCTAACCTCTCTATATCCCCTCATTATTCTCTTTATTTGTAAACATTTAGTTAGTTAGTTATTAGACACTTTCTCATCCAAAGGAACTTTAACGGTAACGGCAACAGTTCTTCTAGTCTTGGAAGGCCGTAATAGTGACATGGGACCTTTGTAATATGCCAATAACCTTTGGATTACTCGTCTGGTTTTGTAACAACGAAGATAACACCACTAAATCTAAATCCACATCAACCTTTATGTAATTGGGTGCCTTTTTAAAAACCAAAATAGGCCATTTTGATAAGTGCAGATTTGTCCATAACTTACAACAGATCGTGACAGTTTTTTTTCCTGTGCAAAAAAAAAAAAAAAAAAAATAGAAGAATGTGTGTTTCTGCATATTCATATTTTGTGTTTCTTCAGGGACCCAGGAGTGTAAGATTTTACCGTCGTCTAGATTTTTTCCTCCAGCTGAAGATCACTCTTTCTCCACTCATCTTTCTGGTCAGCTTTCACTCCTTTCTGTGGCTCCTTATGCCTTTCTTTTTACTCTTTCTTCTTTCTTCTGGGTGTGTTATAATGTTAGTGCTGTGTTTTATTTTCATGTTTGTGTGTTATGTGTAGTATTTTTTTTATTTGTGCTTAAGAGGAACTAATCAACTAACATCAAAACAGTTTAATTTTTAGAAAACACCAAATTTTGGTCTTTTATCAAGAAGCAGAAGCTTAAATCCCTGCCCACCCTAAACAGAAGTTTATAAAATATGTCATTATGTATGCATGTATATCTGTTCAGTAATGTGAGTGTCACTGTTTTGTGGCTGTACATTTTCTCCTCTTTTCCTTGTAGACTCTGCAGAGGATGGAGTGATCAGAAAATGTCCAGAGAGAGGTGGAGTATACATCCCTGTCCTATAATCATGTTCTCCAACATCATATCAAACAATATCACAAAATAAACCATAACAGGGTGGTCAGGGTCACTGTGCCAAAATCAAATTACTGCATTTTTACTTGACTACTTACCAAATAAATGGATGGGCACAACATATTGAGTTGAAATTATTTAATTATGTGAAAGGAAAGAGATTGGTTGGCAGACAGAAATGTCAAATGAGTATATTATACTAAAAAAATTACCACAAAATGCTGCGATCGACCAATCAGAATCGAGTGTTCCAGGAAACTGTAAAAATCGGATCTATTTTGCCCCGCAGGTCGTGCTAAAGTAGATCTGCAAGAATATCTGAAACAGTGGCAGGAAGACTTGCAGCGGAGAGATGAGAATATTAAAGACCTGCCCAGAATTAATCAGGTACACACACAAAAATGAAACATGGTCAGAATTTATTGGGTACATAAATCTGCAATGTCTTTGTGCAGGAAAACGGAAAAAGTCAATAGTATTAAATGGCATTATCCAGCCATTTAATAATGACTGAACAATATCTGTTGTCTTTTTCCTGTGTGATGCTGAGATTTGCCACTTTATGTACTGCTGATCTGTGTACATTAACCAAACCTAGCATCGCTACTAACTGTCCTATGTTTACCTTGTTGTTTTAACATTGTTTGTGCACATCGTATGAAAGCTGAGCGAAGGCAATAATCAAATTCTCTCATAAAGTTCCCTCTTTCTCATATATATAGTGTTGAGAAGTTTGGGAAATCAGATTTATTTTATTGAATTGTTCTATTTGGTTCAAGATTTTATTTTATTTGTGTGTCTGTGTATATATATATGTATGTGCAGCAAAGCTGCATTTATTTGATTACCATTTTTCAAATAACTTTTATTCTATATAAAAAATAATATTTTTTATTCCTGTGATGGCAAAGCTATCATTTCAGCAGTGTCATTAGTCCAGTCTTCAGTGTTACATGATCCTTCATTCTGATATACTGATTTAGTGTTTAATAAACATTTCTCATTGTTATAATTGTTGAAAATGCTGTATTGCTGCTTAATAATATTAATATTGCTGCTTTATATTTTTGTGGAAACTGTGATACATTTTTTAGAAACGTATTTAGAAAGTATGATAAGAATAATTATGTTTTCTTTACGGTCACTTTTTCCTTGTAGAATAAATGTATTAATTAAAAAAAAAACTTTTGAAAAGGCAGTGTATGTTAATAATAATATATATTAAAAACTATTAAAAGAATGTAGTGTTACAAAAATGCTGTAAGTGTACTAGTAAACTAGGAATATATATTTTTAATTTGGAATATTAGTATTTTATCTGAAATGAATCTGGGACATCAAGACAGTTTCTCATGCTTATTTGAGTACAGCACCTTGTTTGCTTAGTCCTGATGTGGTTTCCACAAATACATTGAGGTATTTTGACAATTGTGTCAACAGTGTCCTTTCTCTACTGACTAACATTCTTCAGTGCGGGTCTATTCCTGTTCTCTGGCATAGTCTGAGTCTCACTATTCTTCGTTCTGAACACAAGACTTGTTCTTGCCCTCAAACATAAGTTTAGACTTATCTTATTGAAGTGTAATAGGAACGTTGCCCATTGCTGACAATAGTTGTTGTGGTTAATGTGAAGCCATAATGTAAATGCAGTTCAAATCAAATAAATAGACTGTATTTGTTCCAGGTGCAGTTTATTCGTTTGACGAAGACTCTGTATGGTGTGTTCCACGGTGATGAGGAGGAGGAGAGTCTGTACCGTGCCGTGGCGCGAGTGACCAGTCTTCTGTTGCGCATGGAGGAGGTGGGGCGGAAGCTACAGCAGGGCAGCCCGCAGAAAACACCCCAAAATACACCCACCAGCACGGCTGAGACAGAGACCTCCCCAACATTACCCACCAGCCCTGAGGCCGAGACCCTCTCTGAGGGTGAAGGCACCCAGGACCACACTGAGTCTCTGGTCAGTCAACAGGAAACCGCCCCGTCCCGCTCTGACATTACCCCAAACTCAACCTCGCGCCCTTCTACGCCCACCAGCAGTCCAACCGGAACCAGCAGCCCTGTGTTGGACACGCCAACAGACATTCCCAGCTCACCCTCCACGGTCAGAGATGGGGACTGGAGTTTCTCCTTTGAGCAGATTCTCGCATCTCTCCTGAATGAACCGTCTGTCGTTCGCTTCTTCGAACGGGCTGTTGACACAAACGCTCTGATCGCACACGCACGTAAAAACCAGCTTAAAGACGCACACTAAAACACTATTCGGAGCAATCACAGCAAAACACTGCCCTACAAGCCATAAGCCCTTCCTCCTCTCTTTCTCTTTCTCTGTGCAACCTCTACAGGTCAGTGTTTGTGAAACACTTATATGTCTGTTAAATATGAGGAAATCGTTTCATTTATATATAAATGCACATATGCAGGTCAAAGGGACAAAAAAAGATTTGAGGTATAAAATGATTCAGATTGTATAATGTGAGGAAAGAAGTAAAACGGGTATGAGGTTATTTAATGTCAAATAAATGATTAGTGTTATTAGATTTTATTCATGTGTTATGGATAGGTGATATAATATAGATGAAGGTATTATGATGTATTATAGAGAACTGAATGAGGTGTTCTACTCTAAATGATCATATAAATGGCACCTGTGATTTGGGATGATGGCATGAAAAGGCTTTGCCTTCTTTATTTGTTACCTCAGAATATTCCTCCAGCTCTCATTCCCAGCCTGACCTAATTCACGTAAGCACATGTAAAACCACAAAAGGTAGGATAATTCTAAGGGAAATCAAAGTGCTATGCTGTTGAACTGCTTTGTTCAAAATATCTCAGTCCATTAAACATGTCACCTGGCATTACTTACCCTACTAAAATGCTCTTTGAAATCAAATTGTTGTTCTTTTTGTAGAGGTTTGATTAGGATATCTCAAAATTGGGCTAATGCCAATCAGGAGGCAGAGTTGAGTCGGCATCATATCCATCGCATTGAAGGTCTGTATTAGGAATCCAGATCATATAGCCGTTTAATTCGGATTCACTGAATGTGTTTGTGTCTACAAACCGGAATCTGTGGTTTATGCCTTATTAGTTTTTGATTCAGGTATTCACGGATACGAATATCACAAGTGCTTCCATTTAACGAAACCTATTTCATCTTTCCTCTTATTGATTTGTAAACATTTATCGCAACCATTTATAAGATTTGATTCCAAATAATGCACATTTTGTCATAAAACAAGGATATTTTCTGCCATTATTTTCTCATACAGCACATACTGAAATGCTTTAGCAAGAAAAATATGTACAACTATTGCGCTGTAAATTATATGCAAAGTGAATAAGTAATTTTTCTGTCAGAGTTCGTGTAATCAAACCTGTAAGAAAAACTAAGTGATGAGTCCACCAATCGTACGTAAAATATGTTGTATGATGCTTAAAATGGACCAATGAATATGCAGAATTGTTCTTAGTTTTCAGCTTTGTGTAAATGTTGAGAGCTTGTGATGAATGCAAAAAGGGAAGTTGATATTTTGTGGTTATTCTGTTTAAAGCTATGTCAGGTCTGTACCATCTAAACAGGTTTTTCGTTCCATGTTTAATGAAGTAATTAAGTTCTTCTAAAGCTAAAAGGCGCCCAAGAGAAGGAAGCCATAGTGCGTATTTTGTATTTGTTTGGTTGTTTGTCTAAGAAAAATGCTTTTTTGTTTTGCTTTCTTGCGCACAAACCTTCAATTCTATAGTAAAACCTCTCTGGACATTGCAGATGAAGTTGAATTGAAAGCTAAATTATTAGTGTTCCATCTTCCTGTTCATATTCATGTATTGCGGGGTAAAAGTGTGGTCGTTTTGATTAGATTTTTTTTCTTTGTTACAAACTGTGCCTCATAAACTCTGTCACATAGTGAAAATTGAATGATAAAATAAAATGTATGAAGAAAACATCTTCCATCTCTATTTGTTGTTCTAGGACCAACCTCGATATTGATCCAGGAACATGCCCTTCAGATCAAGTGAAGCCTACTGGTAAAATGAGAACGATGTAAGCAGGACACTGCTGTCAATAGAGTGATCGATCCCAACTACAGACATGCAGACAGGTACCTGCTGTGAACTGCTGTAGCTCCCTTTGTTAGGTTACATGACAGCTTGACATCATGTCCTATGTCCCTATGCCTCTGTGGAAACACCTGTTATGAGGCATGCAAGATTTTCTTAAAAGGGGGAGATTGCAACCCCTTTAATAGGCGCAAGGCCTATTATTTTGTGGCAAGCATGTTCTAGCTCACACAAAAATTCAAATGTAATGGCAGGTATGTTTAAGATTAGCAATTATGCAAAAGCAATTAACTCTGAGTTAATTAACTCTGGGTTTGGTCTCTCTCAGACTGCGTATATTGTGTACATTTTATTACTCTGTACTTTAAGTATCTAATCTTTTACCAAACTTTCATATATTTGAAAATACATACATTTTATTTCAACTAATATTTGTGTATTTAATTTGTGACAGTCTAAAGCTAGCTTAGAAACATGCTAACATGAGACTATTTGTGTGCAGGGCATAAGTGATTTTTCAAGCTTTTTAAATGAGTCGCTTTAGAGGCTTCTTTTTCAGTCAGGATGATGCCAACATCTCTCCAGCCCTGCTCTAAAACCTTGTGAGCTGCCTAGCTGACATAACAATCCATAGCTGTCCATGTGACACTTTATACTTTTTGGATCGTCTGAAATGCTTTTTGCGACTATTTAAGCCACTTGAATTTGAGATACTCTTGCCTAATGGGACAGATTTAGCCAATCGGTGCTCTTTCCCATCCGTCTGCTAGACCTGTATCAGGTTTCAAACCGGACCCTCATGCTCATGTCTCTGGGCACTCATTTCAGCTTTCTAAGTATAGTCTTCTGTGTTTATTTAAGAAGTGAACACACACATAGCAACTTTTTATATCAATCATGTTTACGTGCTTAGAATGTGTGGACAGTACATTCATAAAGTGCTGGTTGTCTGGCTAAAAAGAATTAAACAGGCCATAGACTCATTGAAGACTGTAAACACTTGGCAAAAAAAAAAAAAAATTCAGCACTGAAGTTTGGATGATGAAACTTGTGTAAACTGTTGACATGTAAAATGTGATTAGTGTTGCCAATGAAATAATATATATAAATCCGTCTTATAATATTCACATTTTACGTACACAGACATTCACATTTTACCCGTAAGTCTCCTATAAGTATTTATTGCTGATAAATGTAAAGAAATTCTGAATGATTTTAAAGTATTATACCTAAGACCATTCCTGACACATAACAATTGCTCTGGTTAATCATAATTATTTAATTGCTCTCTGCTCTCAACTTTCGAATTAGCAGTCTCTTGCTTGGAGACATATCTACTATTGAACACATTTCTTACAGATGAAACGTATTTAAACTATTTTAAACAAAAGTATGAAAAATGATATTGTATTGTCATGAAGTGATGACCATATCGATGGTCTTTTAAGTTAATTGGCTAACCAAGCCAGTTCTTTTATTGTTGCCATTTTATTAAATTTTAAAGGGTTAGTCCACCCAAAAATGAAAAAATAATTAAAATAATTAAATTAAAAATAATTAAAAAATGATGTCACAAAAATGAAAATTATGATGCGACCTGTTTCATAGAATACTGAAATTTGTTGTGCAAAATTCTTCTTATTCTATAAATTTGTCTATTTACTCGAACTCTCCCCCCATATAGATTTAAAGCAACACCAAGTAACTTTTCCTCTGCAGTCACCCTACAGGTTGGAAGTGAAATCCATCACACGAGTCATGACCATAAACAAGAACAAGTGACAATGGGACGTATCTTTTGACTTTTCATTTGGAATGCCCCTACTTAGTATGTCATAATTTCAACTTTTATCTATGAAAGACTTCGTAACTTTTTATCTCATAATTATGTCCAATTATAATTGACCAAAAGTGTGATTTTTTTTCTTATGTGCCAGAAAAGGGCTCCATATGATTCAGTCCATTATTCAATCATCCATCTGTTCAATCGATGATTGCAATGTTCCCACAAAATAAATTCAAGTAAAGCATCACAGACACCCTGATTCTGATGTCACTCTAAATGACACTTTTGTAAATGAATCTCATCACCGGTGAACGAGAGAGGGAATCTCTTCTGTGTTCAGAACGGAAGAGCCAGGAAACAGTAATAGAGTCTGGTTTCCTTCTGGTTAGATTTTGAGGTCATCCATCCTGGTCTTGTTGCTGCTGTAGCGACTTGAATGGCTGGGCCTGCGCTGCTGGCTCGCTGGTGATCCGGGGACAGAACTCGCTGCTTTACTGGTCTTGACATCCGTCGCGTCAGGTTTTCCGCTGCGCTCTACAGCCATGTTCTCGCGGTTTTGTTTGCAAACAGAGCGGCTGCCGTGCTGTGGGAAGGTCCCATCGGGTTCTGAGAGGTTGAAGTGCGGCTCAGCGGGAAAGGGAGCCGGAGGAGGAGCGTGAGGTGGAAAATACGGGTAGCTCGGCACAAACTGAACCATCTCACTGGGTGCTTTAGATTCCGTGTCGCAGACAGAATGAGCGCGCCGGTAACGGAGGCCCTGACGGCACTTGGTGAAACCCAGGTGGTACATCTCCACCAGGTTGAGCAGCAGAGAGACACAGGCCACGGCCAGCATGAACACGATGAAGATGGTTTTCTCCGTGGGTCGTGAGATGTAGCAGTTGACGGTGTTGGGGCAGGGCCACCTGTTGCAGGTGTACAGTGGCTTGAGATCGAATCCATACAGGAAGTACTGTGCCACGATGAAGCCTACCTCAAACAGTGTTTTGAAGATGATGTTGAAGACATATGTGCGTAGCAAGACTCCCTGCAGGCGGATCTTCCCCTGTTCGTCACGTATAGGACCTTTTCCAGCTTTGGAGCTTAAAAGCACCTGTTTGTCTGTTGCGCTGTCCTCATTTTGTTTATGTTTCTGCTCCATGCGCACCAGGTGGAGGATGTGGCCCAGGTAGATCAGTGTCGGAGTGGAGACGAAGATGATCTGAAGCACCCAGAATCGGATGTGAGAGATCGGGAAGGTTATATCATAACATACATTCTGACAACCGGGTTGTTTGGTGTCACAGGTGAAACCGGACTGCTCATCACCCCAAACCTTCTCTGCGGCAGCACCGAGCACCAAGATACGGAAGATGAAAAGTACGGTGAGCCAGACTTTGCCAACTACTGTGGAGTGTTCCTGTGCGCTTTCCAAAAGCTTTCCAAGACTGTTCCAATCTCCCATTACTGCCGCGTGCTCACCTGGGATGGATCAATAGCAATTCAAATTCTGAATGAGATTTAGGCCCAATAATCAGTAAAAAATAGATATGAAAATTCTATTGTATTTTGTTTGAATGATACATTTAATGAATAATTCTTAGTACCGATATATCCCTACAAAAATACTCTGGCATATCTAGCGTTTTGAATTTCAATTCAATACAGAGTCATCATGTGTTATAGCATGGTAACATTAAGTCAATGTTGAGTTTTGATCCAAACCATCACTTTTGGTTGAGATTGACATTTCAATGTTTAAAGTGGGTTGGATGAGCATTGAAATGTTGATGAAAGCCAACAGCACACATGGGTGGAGACAGTGACATTGAACTAATGGTAATTTGTAGTTGATGAGCACAAGATCATTCAGGCATGTATCTCTGCAGAACACTAGTGGGCGTTTCTCAGTCAGTGGGGCGTTTAAACCACAATGGGCATTTTCAACCGATTTAACCGATTTGCTCTAATCCACTGGGGGCTTGGTTTATGGGGTGGGCCTTTATGATTTTAGCATGTCTGTTGAAAATTGGTTGAAAAACATTTATTGTAGTTTGAAATTGGCCAGTGGTTTCCTTTGATATTGAAGCATTAATACATTTTAGAAAAATAAATGAAATAAACAGAATTTAACAATACTATAATTGTAGTTAGAATATGGTGTACTCAGCAACTTAAAAAAAACATTGTGGTAATTGTATTGTGTTTAGTATATTAACATTCTTCAATGTGACTGTATGCATGACAACTGAATTGACTCGTTCTTGAGTAACATCATGCTTTCTTTTTCAGATTTCAGAGAACCCAAAGGAAAAGAGGCAGAAGTGTATGCTGATGCATGGCAGATTTTTAAAACCCTGAACCGTTGGACCACCTGGACCACGGGTAAAGTGCTTTTGTCCTATTTCTACCCCTTTCTTTTTTTAAAGAATAGTATTTTAATATATTTTGTCATTGATTGAATAGAATAAATTGACTCAACTGCTGGATAGGTGTCATTTATATTTTAAAAGGTTTTCGCCAAATTTTGAATGTGTTGACGCACCATTTAAGTGTTTTTGAAATGTTAATATTTCAACATTAACTTAAATCAGATGGCACCATTGTTTGACATTCCTTTTCAGTTGAATTTTCAGTGTTTCAACTTAATGTATTTAGAATCAACATTATGTTTTAACATTGATCAAACCATATTGCCAAAGATTATTCTTGTTAATTTAAGAGCTGATTCAACAGCAGTGATGTAGATTCAACATCATAGTGTAACGTTGATATAACAATATTACCGTTGATTATTTTTGTTAATTTCAATATTGATTCAGCATCAATGATGTATATCAATCATAGTGTAAAGTTGATTCAATAGTATTGCCGTTGATTTTTTTTTTTTTTTTGGTTCAACATAGTTTCAACATTAACTGAGGGTGCAAAAGTGATGTTGAAAAAAAAATCCCTTTGTAATGTTGATTCAATACTTATTACCGTTGAAATTTCAACATTATTTCAACATTAACCGAGGGTTCAGGAGTGATGCTAAAGCAACATCACTTTCTAACATCACACACACACACACACACACTTAAATAGGGACATTCACTTGTATTGTTTTTGTATCTTGTTAAAAATACTATAACCTAACCCTAACACAAATCTTTATGCATCTATGCATATATTGTTTTTACAAATGAGTCCCCAAGAGGAGGTTTTTTTTAGCAGATTTGGCTCACACAAAATTTTACAAATTTGCTCCTTAAAAATGATTAATTTGTTACACACACATGCATACCAAGTAATCTGTTTTTTTATGCACAAACACATATATTTTTGAGGGTTTAAAGGTTCTTTGTCATATACAGTATATTTTCATATGCCCTGAGGTTACATGTCTTCATGCTTGAGCATGACCTGAAACAGGTGGACATGCTTGACCCCTACACACACACACACACACACACACACACGGATCTTCTAACATACTTCATCATTTCTGTATTCCATACTGTCTGTGTATAGATGTGTATCTGCTTAACTAAACATGAAATTGTCTTAAACTTTTTTTAAAGCTATGGACCTCCAAATGATGATGAGCTTGTAAAGGGGCCCCCTTCCTAAATTATAAAGATAGTTATATATTTTTTTGTATACTGTAAAAAATGAAGACATAAATATGTGTGAAATATTTTGAGGAAAATATCTCATTTGTAATAAATTGACATTTACATATTTTTTCTATCTGTCAACAGAAAAAAATAATTAGTGATTAATCTCATGCAAGATTTATTAGATAAATCCCCCCCATATTGCATTGCTGCTGAGCGGCTCTGATTTTACTGTGGGTGTCATGTAGGATTAACAAAACAAACTGCCATTCTGAGGCCTTGCATCCTGGTTTCCCATGTCTTAGTTTTGATCTTCTGTCTGTTGTCCTGGATTTCCATGTTTCCCTGTGTTTTCTACTCTGGTCTTGTTTGTCTGCATGGTGTTTTGACCAATTGCTTGCTACAGGGATTATGATTCTGGATTGCCCAATAAAAGCTGCATTTAGATCTTCACCCATATGAGCAGGCCATAACAATAATAATTATTACAATTATTTTTTATTGTTTTTTTTTTTTTACTATGAATTGTTCTGCTTGTTTGGGAGTTTAAAACCTTGGCCTTCACAGATTCAAATAATAAAATATTAAATATGATATTTCCCCCTATTTTATATGAATCTAACTACTGAGTTTATTTAGCTCAGCAGTCGGGACAACATTTCAAAACCAATATACACATCCTTCCTCAGATAATCACTCAGATATACTGTAATTAGTCACATTGATAAATATACACACACAGTCATATATGAATTAATCACATTAGTCATAATACTAAATATAGGACCCCTTTTGCTTCCCAAAACCTGAAGGGTCTGACAATCATATTAAGTGGCCACTAAGCCATTATTTCTACATAGAGACAAAGATTAATGCTGTTAAATGAAAGGAATAAAAACCTGTGAATGCAATCTGAACCTGTAAGGATATTAAATTGATTTTTCATTCTGACGGATGATGTTCATGTGCTGTCAGTCTCTATGTGTGTATAAGGTAGAGTGTGTGTAAGTTGTTTAGATTTATTGTGTGAAACTTACCTTTCTTAAATGTCCAGAGTTAGAATAATCCTCTCACACACAAACGCAGTGCTGCACGTCTTCTGTCATACACACACTTTCTTCTGTATACCAGAACTGGGTCACAGTAACAGTAAGAGAAGACTGACCCATACAAATACACTGAATATATGTGTCCGTGCATGTATGTGTGTGTGTGTGTTAGGGTTAATTTTGGCAGGGAACACAATCCCTAGGGAGAATTTTGAAGAGTGTACCACCTGCCTTGTTTCTCAGAGCCTTTCTGGTGAGTGACAGGTGTCAGGCCCAATGGCTGAGCTCACAGTTGAACGGATTCATTGATTCCCCCCTTTGGAACAAATAACTAAAACATATTATTATTATTATTATATTTTCATTTCTACCGTTTTAAAGTGTGCTTGGCACCAAACAGAGAACAAATAGAGGTTATAGAGCAAGACAAAAAACAAAGCTGTGTGTCAGGATTGTAGCTTTTTTTGAATGTAGGATATATGAAATGACAGATGACAGGGAATATTTTACATTCCCAATAAGCCCAGGTAAAATCTGGATTGGCTGGTGAAATATTTTCTGACCTCCGTAGCAAATGTAGGTCAGTCCAAATTAATAATAAGCATTTTAACAGATTATTAAAACTAATTTCCTGCCCATTTATAATGTATCGTCATTAAAATGAAGTGTATCATCATTATGTTCCGAGAGGCTGACCTTGATATTGGATAAAGCATTACAGTCACTGGTTTCTGTCGAGAGTTGGCCTTTAGGAACGGTAGCGCCCCCTAGAGTACAAGTAAAACAAAAATAAATCTCAAAGTTATGAGTCGGCTTCTTGTGCAATCAAGAGACTATTAAACTTTTGTTTGACACAAACCGGAAACAGGAAAACACAAATCTCAATGTGTGAAATTGAATCTTTGTCATCGGGCAGTGATGATATCACAAATGAATTAAGATTAAGATTTTCTTTAATTGTAGTATTTTTAGCAACAATATAACATTTTATACAGCAGTGTAAATTCATTTAAACAATGGTCTAAAAATGTCTGAAGTAATATAATGCATGTCTACATATTTTAAAAAGTATTTCCCCAGTTTCACAGAAAAGGCTTAAGCCTAGTCCCAGACTAAAACGTTTGAGCTGTTTTAACCAAATTGTTTTGTCTCAAGATGGTAAACACATCAGTAATGTTTTTTTTTTCTAAGCCACGTTTATAAAAGCCACATAAATTCCCTAATTGAACTAAGCAGTGGCGTAGGTTTGATTTTGAAATTGGTGAGACGGGGACATATATAAATATAATTTCAGTTTTGAAAAAAATTATTGCTAGCCAGGGATATATCAGTGTCACTGGATATTGGTAGGGACACGTCCCTGGCGTCCATACTAAATTCTATGCCCCTTTGGCTTTGGCTTTATCAAAACCCTGTCTGTGAAACTGGGCCATTGAGTTATAAAATAAACACATCATCAATGAGGTGAGGATATCATTAGGCCTTATTAACATTAAGAGTTTGAGTGAAATATTTAGCTTTCGGGGTGACTAGATGAGCACTTCTAAAAGGAAAACAATTTCTGTGAGATCCAGGCTCCCACTGCAGAGTCCTTGGAGTTATTGAGATGGCGACTTGTTGCCCTAGCAACAAGAAATATGATTTCTGCGATGTTGAGCAGGATGCAGATGCCAGACACCGCAAGCATAAATATAGTGAACACCGTTTTCTCAGTTGGCCGGGACACAAAGCAATCGACTATGTTTGGGCACGGGTACGAATCACACTTTACCAGCCGGAACATCTTGTAGCCTGGGTAGATCATGTAGAAGAGATACATAAACGCAGATTCGAATAACACACGGAACAGCAGGCTTATCATGTATGTCCACCAAAGGCCACCGGTAATCTTCATCTTTTGATTCTTTATCTGCTCTAAGTCCTTTGGACTGGTGCGGCCAGCTTGGCGATACAACTTTTTGTCGATATGCCGACGATGTGCAATGTGCATGGCAACCAGCAGGGCGGGGGTCGAGACCATGATGAGCTGCAGTGCCCAAAGTCGGATGTGAGAGATGGGAAAGAAGTGGTCGTAGCACACGCTGTTGCAGCCAGGCTGCTGGGTGTTGCAGATAAAATGAGCTTTCTCATCGCCCCACACGCTCTCCGCCGCCACCACCAGAACCATGATACGGAAAATGAAGAGAACAGACAGCCAAATCCGCCCAATGCCTGTGGAATGCCGGTTCACGCCGCTGATCACGGCATAAAAAGACGCCCAGTTCATTTTTGGTTCCAGATCTGCAAAACAGAGAAAAACTCCACTCTTAGCAAACTCTCTCTCTCTCTCTCACATTAAATATAAACATTCATATTGTTATTTAGCAAGGAAACCAAAAAGTGATTAAAAGTGGCAGTTTATATTAAGAAATGTTACTTAAGCACAAAATCAGCATATTAGACTGATTTTTGAAGGATCATGTGACACTAGAGTAACGGCTGCTACATCATATCATTTAAAATAGAAAACCTTTTGAACATTATTACATCTCAGTCTTGATTTAAGCCTTTTTATTACCACACAATAACCATATGACATAACATCTAAGAAATAAGGACCGTGTCTGACTCAAATCTACAAATATATCTTTGAAACATTGCATAACACAATAATAAAAATGTAATTGTGACGAATCTGAGACCAGAGCTAACAATGAACTTGTTCTGTGTAGGTTGGTACTTGCACAAAGTGATTTTTCATGACAACTACCTAAAAGAAGGTCTTTGACTGAAACCTATTTACATGTCACAAGTAAAGCAAATGCAAAGAGAAACATACAATTACATCTACAAAAGAAAACAGCCGTCGACCACCCATTTTCTGACGGACAGAGAAAGTAAATGAGAGAAAGAGTTGCAGTATTCAGCATTACCAGACTCCGCAGGTGGTGTTAGTGGCATGGGCAAAGCCCGTTCAGAGGGGTTCTGAAACCCGCCGTGTCTCTGGTGTGCATGTGTATGCCTGTGTCTGTATGTGTGTACCTCAGTCAGATGGAGTGTCTCCGGCTTGCAGCCACCATTTATGAAGGAACGGACACCCATGTGACCGGCGAACTCAGAGCCAATGTCATTCTCCCATCACACAATGAAAGCGTGGGTTCAGTCACAGAACAAGAGTGTGTGCTTTGATGTGTGTGTTTGTGTTTGTGTGATATGGGTCACCGGGTATCTTCCATCTTGTACTTTTGCCTTTCTGCCTCATGGATTTATGTAATAATTTAAGCTCCATATTATATATTAATATTATATGCACTATTATAGGCAAACATTTTTTTAATTTTAGTAAACTTAATTTTCTATGTCTATGCAATTTGTCCAATGTATTTGAATTGACAATATAAAAAAAAGTTTGGATGTAACAAAGACTCAAAAAAGCTGATGTAAAAAAAAGGAACACAATTTAATGATTTGAAATTATGTAAATATGTATTATGTAACCTCACAGGACCATGTAACATCTTTTAAAAACAAATTTAAACACTCTCACTATGAACTTAAATTGTATGTGTGAGTTCAGAATTGGTTAGGTAAGTTTAGGAATTATAAATATGCCAATAGTTTGGTTTGCAAACACCCTGAATCAATAATATGCATCAGTGTGAAAATTCATACAATTTGATGATGTCATACTGCAGGACATCCATTCATATCTTTTACGTTTTAATTCATTTTTAATACATTACTGATGAATATTACTATTTTTATATTTTAATATTTTATATAATGGGATATCATTTAGTATATAATAAGAAATATTACTATTCATACTATACAAAAGATTGAATATAAAGTGTTGTCTATAATGATAAAATATTTTAAAAGTCTTACATATCTCAATCAATGCATTTAGGGTTTTATTTGAATTCCTTTATATTTTGTCTCTGTTTGGAAAGTGATGATTGTGCTTTTATTATTGTTTTAGTGAAATACAATTATGGATGTCATCACACAGAATCTTACAAGTATCAGAAATCCACTAAGTCTCAAGATGCTGTATAAATCTTGACTTAAAATAGCCTACAGATTTATAGTTTCTCAACTGGTAGTGTTATGGAACAATTTCTTTATCTGATATTATTATGTGTAGTAGATATTCCATACACATGGAGTGGTTGTAAACTTTCTATATTAAATAGAGGGGAGTTTCACACAGGTCACTGGTTTGGTTTGGTAGTTGGTTGATTATTGAGTTTCTGGGGTAAACATGGTTGGTAGTTGATTATGGCAAAGGTTTAATTGGTAGGTTTAGTACTGTGTTTGATAGGGTTGATATTTGGCTGATGTTTACCTGCGGTTGGTGTGGTCCCTGAGCAGAAGAAGAGGTTGAAGTCGCACAGGAAAGGGTTGATGTTTCCCCAGTGCCGATTATGGCGCAGTACCGGAGCTTTGCATTGCTAATCACTCGTGTCACGCTGTTACTCACCCCACTACAAACATCTCCACACAAAAGATGCTTGTGCTGCCAGTCCTTAACCATTCAGATCAGATCCGAGGCATACACCCACCAGCAGAAACTGTGACGCAAATTATGTACAAACGCACATTTACACATGAACATACACCAACTCACATACACAATCATGTACATTAGTGACAGCAATTCTTTCACACACATTCATAGCCTCGAAAAAACATGAAAGTTTAAACACACACCCAGTCTTTCTCTGCAAAAAGATGTAGCTATAGGCTACTTGTACAGCAAAACTGTTTTTAGATAGACATAGACCTAAATGTATTATATAAAAATCACTCCGATCAGTCACAACAGCAACTTCAAAAGAAAAGATAGAATTCATCCAAATTGTTCCTTATTGTCTATTAAAAGCAGCATTTATTAAGTGATATAAACTTGTTTATATCTGACATTTAAACAGTATCTATCTATCTATCTATCTATCTATCTATCTATCTATCTATCTATCTATCTATCTATCTATCTATCTATCTATCTATCTATCTATCTATCTATCTATCTATCTATCTATCTATCTATCTATCTATCTATCTATATACACACATATATATATATATATATATATATATATATATATATATTTAATGCAGGGGACATTCTTTTAACTTTTTAGCACTTCGCTTCCCAAAGGTCTCCACAAGGTGACCCATGAACACGAGCACCAGCACAGAAGCGCGGTAGCGCGCACGACCAGCCCCACCTACAGGAATTGTGGGAAGACATGGCAGCTTCCGCTGTTTGTGTTCAGGGAATTTCCGCACCGAACAGTCACTAAATGAATAGTGTTTAGTTAACATCATAATTCAATAAGTGTTACGGTTCGGTTTGTTTCGGGATGGAGGAGAGCGGCAGTGTGGACAGTGTCGAGTCGCTGTGCAGGTATAATATATAATTTCACATTAGCTTATATAATGTTTTTGAAACTTCTTGACAGTACAGCCGCTAACTCTGGCTTCATTTCACTTTCATAAGGGATAGTTTACCCAGAAATTTAAAATTCTGCCATCATTAACATACCATTGCTCCAAACTCGTATGACACCACTTATTTTTGTTATATTAAAGAAAATAAATATGTAAATATAGTCAATTATGACCGAGGCTGTCAGTCTCTAACATTCTGAATCTGCACTGTATGTTCAATGGAAGAAATAAAGTCAGTTTAAAATATACAGTTTTGGAACAACATGACGGTGAGAAAATGATGAAAGAATGTTTATTTCTGACTGAACCTTTCCTTCAAGATTTGAGTAAAGCTCATAGGTGTGCTTTAATCCACCTTCATCTTCTAATGTCCTTTCAGCTCCACTACAACCCGCTCTGACCGCTCAAGTGGCACCAAAGTTTCAGACACAGAGCTGCGGGTCAGTCAGAACCAAAGTTCAGCCCAACACTTCTTTTTCTGTACTTAAAACTGGTGTATGTTCCAAACTATTACTATTACCAAACCTCACATGTTTATTTTTCTTATTACAGAGTAAAGGAAGGACATTTGATAAGGTATTAAAGTGTGAATTTTTGCAAAAGACTTGAATAAAGCTTCAGTTTATGTTCACTGATCAAATTTTCCTGTATGCAGGTCTATAAGGACCCCGGTAAAGACGAACTTCCTCTTCTGGAAGAGGAACTGGTTCAGGATGCCGGTATGTGTGGCACATTATACTGACTGTTGTGCATCAGCTATTCTGATGGGTTTAATGTATGTGCTTATTGTGTGCTTGATCACAGCTAAAGACGTGACTTACATTTGTCCATTCATTGGGCCTGCTAGAGGATCTCTGACTGTCACTAACTACAGACTTTTCTTCAGGTGCACTGACAGGGTAAGAACCATGCACACATGCTGTTTCCGTACTTCTGGAGAGAATTTCTAAACTAAAGACTTAATTGTCAGGCACCTTTTTTGCGTGTTAGGAGCCGGTGTTTGGGCTAGATCTGCCACTGGGAGTTTTGAGCCGAGTAGAGAAGATCGGAGCAGCAACTAGCAGAGGAGACGCCTCATACGTCCTCGTCTGCAAGGTTTGTGAATTATTATTTTTTTGAAGAAGACTTGACATTTAACTATACATATATGTTTTAAAAAAACAATAATTAAAAATAAAGCCAAAAATAAAAATGTTGAAATAAAATGTACGAAAATGACAAACAAATAAAAATAATTTAAAGCTAGTTTGGAATATAAAAAAGCATAAAAAAATACTGAAAATATACGAATAAAGACTATTACAAAATATTAATGATAATAAAATCAGGTGTTATTAAAAATAGTGTTATTTTAACCCTTACTGTTGAGCGCTGATACATTCTTTTCCCTGGATGTTCGCTCAATGTATATGTGTCCTGTAGGATTTGAGGAACCTGCGTTTTGTACACAAGGAACCTGAGGACTCACTAAAGAAATCAGTGTTTGAGGTTCTGATGAAGTTTGCTTTTCCAGTGTCAAACAACATGGTGAGAAACATAAGAAGACAAAGAGCATATATTATTCCAGCATGCAGTATAGTACAATTAATAAACCTTGTTCAACAAAATCTGCATCGACCTAAAAGTTATTAGAGCTCATAATTTCTCTGTCTTTATCCCTCCTTTCTCTTTGTCTAGTCCCTCTTTGCATTCGAGTATAAGCAGGTGTTTCCTGAGAATGGATGGAGGGTGTATGATCCACTGGCTGAATACAAGAGACAGGTACAATACATTGTGTGTTTATTCATTTTTTTTGCTCTTTTTTGTTATATGCAATGTGATAATATACAGTCATCCAGTCTTTATTGCAAAATAAACCCCTCTGTAGAGGGGCGAGGACTCTAATGTAAAGCAGGGGTGGATTGTATCACTCCAAATAGGATTGTTTTGCAATAATGATGGCTGGGTATACATAAATAATTGTCATTAATAATGACATGAAATAATGGTTTTATTCTACAATATTTCAAGATTATTTTTCAAATTTATCACTTGGTAATTATATAATAATATATGAGTTAGTATATATATATATATATATATATATATATATACATTGTCATATTTCATTTACAGTATTTAACAATAGTTTATTATTTTGAGACTTATAGAGTGATACAAGAGACATCTGGCAAAGCTATGTAGGATATTTTAAATCAATTATACATTTTAGTTGTTATTATACAAAGCATATTTCACTGCAGAATTCTGTGATTGACCAATAAGAAACAAGTATTTCAGAGAGTTGTGTTTTTCATTTAAATAGGGTCTTCCGAATGAGAGCTGGAGGATATCCAAAGTAAATGATCACTATGAGCTGTGTGATTCATACCCAGCGGCACTAGTTGTGCCGGTGACAATCACTGACGAAGAACTGCGGCGCGTCTCCAGCTTCAGGGCCAAAGGACGCATTCCGGTCAGTGTCTTGAGATGTTTCTGAATCTTCACACTTCAGTTTGTGTGTGAGCAATAATTCATCCTCAGTTCTCACCACTGAAGCTATTGGCTCATTCCGGTTTAGGTATTGTCGTGGATTCACCCGGAGAGTCAGGCTGCAGTGGTTCGGTCCAGCCAGCCGATGGTAGGTCAGAATGGTCGACGCAGCAAAGAAGATGAGAAACTCCTTCAGGCCATCATGGATGCAAACGCACAATCACACAAACTGTTCATATTTGATTCCAGACCCAGTGTGAATGCTGCCGCTAACAAGGTAAACACTCACTTTCTTTTCAAGCGTGTG